TGAAATTTAAAAATTCAAAATTTATGAAAAAGTATCAGGAGAGCATGACAATCGAGGAGCTATTCATTGAAATTTAAAAATTCAAAATTTATGAAAAAGTATCAGGAGAGCATGACAATCAAGGAGCTATTCATTGAAATTTAAAAATTCAAAATTTATGAAAAAGTATCAGGAGAGCATGACAATCGAGGAGGTATTCACGGAAATTTGAAAATTCGTTGATGAAATTTTTCAAATTTTTTTGAAATTTCAAATACATTTGCGTCGATTTGAGTCGATATGAGTAGATTTGAATCATAAACGTTCACATGAGAACGCATCCTTCGACTCACGGCCCATGACACTTTTTATTACATGCTCTCCGCCATGACACTTTCCAGTCCATGCTTTTTTTACTAATGGATAATGGAAATACCGCATATATGATATAAGAAAAAATTGTCAATTTTCGTGAAAATTTGTCGCAATCTTCAACGCCCAATATCTTTCAATATAAAAATGGTAGAAAAAACAGAAAAAGCATATTTAAATAAATAGACAGCTCCGTCAGACATTTGAGGAACACAACCGTTTCGCCGAATAACTTCCGCAATTAAAATCCGGATAATTAACATTCCAGACGGTGTCCTTTTCATCATTGAAAGCCCTCAACGTGGGAAAAACGCCTGCAATGTTGACTATTATTTCGAAATGCCTCTCGAAATTCTCAAGTGTAAATGGAGACGCAGTGGGTGGGTGCGTACATTATGTCGCCCTTTTCTTATATAAAGACAAATAAAAAATATAAAGCCGGTCTCTGTGCGTGAAGGACACACGCAGAAATTTCTACCGGCGAATGGTCTTGCTCATACATATTATGTTGTACCTCTTCTATGGAATGTTTTCGCATTGAATAGTAGTTTCACCGGTCAATACTATCGTCGCAGATTACTCTAGTGGGGGTAAAACGGAAGTGACTGCTGCTTTGCCTCATCAAGACGTCTATTCGTCTAAGAAGGACGAAATCCTTTCAACATCCTCGATACCATTGTTAATCCCTAAATTTTATCTCTTTTCTAGGATCCTACCTATAAGAGATATGAGATGCTACCATTTTACCTCTTCTCCCCCTTTATTATATAAAAAATGTTATTCAAGATGCTACTTTAAGCTCAAAATTGGATTTATGTGGCCCTAAACTTATGCAGTATTCAATAGAAATTGATGAAATGTTCTCTGACATTTAGATATCCTGAAAATGCCATCCAACATTAACGATAACTTCAATTGAAATTGATCAGTTTATGCGGTACTTTTATAGGTGAGAGTAAAGTTGAGTACGTGCGTTCTTTAAAGGATTTATGTGCAATACATTAAAAAAAAGTACAAGAGAAAAGTAAAGTGAAAATGTTCTCAAGTTTTTCCATCGGTTTTTCCAAGATAGCAGTAATGATGATTGAAAAATTGAAGGGAAAATAATTCCGACTCCCCTAATTCCGCTTACACGCAATAACACCATTAGTATTGCATAATTAATTCCAGTGGTTTTCTCAAAATAGATATAATAGTTAAACACCAATAATAACAACACGTTATGTACGCCGAAATATTTCGATGAAAACGAAATGATTTAGAACGGATCAAATCACCGTTACACCAACGAAACGCCGTTATGCAAGTGTATCCAAGCGTTATTGATAGTCGAGAACTGAAACCTAATATGAATTCAAATCACACCTCGTCTCAATAAGGCAACAGAAAATTGTTGTGTGGGTACAAAAAAAAAATGGGCATTGAAAAAAAATAGGTACCGCATTGGTGGTAGATTATTCACCGGGCGGATGTCCTGGTGGGAATTAAAATGGACTAAGACAAGTGGAAACGGTCATTCGCCGGCCAGCCATCCAGCCATCCAGCCATCCAGTCTCCATGTCTAGAAAACCTATTGACTATTTTCTACTGACACAAACCCGGTGTAATAATTTTGTAGCAGTGAAATAGGATGAAGGAGTAGGGAGGAAAGGTGGGTGGGAGTTTGAAGGGGTGAGTTTGGCACGCGTCAACCAATGACATTGCTCAATTTGTTGTAGAATCGTTGAGAAAAGGGAATAGAGGGGTAAACGTCACTGCGACGAGTAACGGGTAGAAAATCGTGGAGAGGGAATTGTCTGCGTTTTGCCCCCGGCGCAAGTGAGAGCGCAAGCGGCGAGGGCTTCCTCTGGAGATTGTCAGAGAGCCGGCAGCCCTCAATGTGAGCTGCTGCCAAGGCTTCTTTTCTTTCGACAGTCGAGCTGTGCTATACATTAAAAAAAAATTCACTGAATCTCATATTATCCGTACCAACAATCTTCCGTCATTTTTCCACGAGCTCGATTCAACCGTTTGCTCGTGACAAGCTAGATTCGTACGCCCCATTTTTTTTTATTTTAGTCTATTTCAAGGATTTTATTCCCAATTCGGTCTGGTGCATCAATCTCGTCAATCCATCTACCAGTGAAGATTCTGCAGGACTTGCAACGTACGGGGGAGACGGATAGTGACGGATTTCTTTTATAATTAGTATTTAGTAGTTTTTTATATTGACTGTTGATTTTTCCTCACTGCTTCGCTTCGATTGAAGATATTGGAACATTTTTTTTCCTCGACGCGCGTTGGGTACTATTTACTCTGAAGATATACCAATTTTTTTGGTAAGTAATTGAAGGAATTGTGTAATTTATTTACTTTGAGCTATTGCAGAGATCGGTATTTTTTTATAATTATTTCATGGGCTTCGGCTGTTTAGAAAAATGTCTTTTCAATTATGATGTAAGACAATGTTCGAGAAGCCGTACTAGAGCTAGTGAAATTTCCCAAGTTTCTCAGGCGTTATAAAGACCGTCTGATGTAATACCAATGTTAAATGAAGAATAATTTATTCTCATCGCGTATAAAATTTATTAGGTGGAATTGAAATGGACAGGAGGAAATAAAAAAAAAAGGTGGAGGTTAGGTGTTGGGAGGGGTTGTTACTAAGGGCAATGCGGCAACTATACGGGGTAGAGATAGGGGGGAGACTTTGACTCACAAAGTTGAAATTTTATATATATAGTTGTTCTTCCGCAGGATATACCGCATGTGTCACATGAATTTAACACTCGGAATATTCCGGTGAGATTGAATAGAATTTTGGTGCAGGCATTTCGAAAGCTTTTCAGGACGCATGAATGCGGCTTTTCAAGTCCCCGATCTTTATTGAAATTTCATGAATCCCCGGCGGGAATGTCCTTTCATTCATGTTTGGCGATGAAAATTATAGAACTCTGAGGAAATGTCGGTGAATTTTTATTTTCTACAGGGAATTCAGGGAAAAAAAAATGTTGGAATAATTGACCGGCACCATTGCCAATATATAGATGACTAAGCTGGGTGGATCGATAATTCAGGGGCTGGTAGTGTGTCATTCACCGCATTTATTCCATCGGAAAGATAAAAAATTTAGCTACCGTTGATTGAACCCAGCGAAGGGTGACAGTATCCTGCCCTTTTTTCCTGTTTAATTTTGCATTCACTCATAACTTAGCTGATAGGGTGCATTTAACATGAATCATCAATGCGCAAACGCAGTCGGGGAGTATAATTTTTACGCAGGAGAGCTCCCTAGATCCTGCGCAGTAGATTTCGCCGGGTCAGACAATTTTCTTTTCATTTAATTTTTTGCTTTATTCGCACTAAAGATTTTTCCTGTATTGAAAATATTGAACCGATTACAACCGCTAGAGAAAATGAAACCGTGATGGAAATTTCTCTTCCCTAACATTTTCCGACGCACTGCACTAACACTTGACGCAGTGGTGATTAATCAGTCTGTAGTAATTGATTTTTAATTTGAACATCTTGTGTCTCTGAGGTATGAGTACAATGGAGCCTCCAAAGAGTGATGGTGAACCGGAAAAAGCGGCTATACCAACACCAGGAGTTGGTACTCCAGCAGCAGGCTCACAGCATCCACCGCCGTCACCCTTAAGCGGATGTTATCTACTTGTAGTTCTTCCTGAACCTCATAATGCACAACACAAAGATCTCATAATCAATCGAATTGCCAAAGGTAAAATAATTCAGCATCTCTGGAAATGAGTCTTTGTTAATTTAAAAATAGATAACTAAATAGAAGGGACACACTCAGTGGACAATAATTCAGGACAAACCCCCATGTACTTATTCCCTCGTGAAAATACTGAGATAGGCTAAATTTATCACTGGTATTCGGCCATTCCCCTCATCTTTTCCCTCCCATGTTGCAGTCTGTTCTTTAACTTTTTTTGTCCTTTCTCTCTGCACTTCATCCAAATCGAGATCAGACGCGCTGCTATTCTGTTCTTGAACCTGGCCTTGACGACGACAAAATATCGCCGAGTGTAGGGGAACATCTCGCTTCCAAATTTACCCTTTTCTTTTTAATTTCACTCGTCCGTGTCAGAGATTAATCACTCGCGATATTAAATTTGCAATATTAGAGTGACAAGGAGGAATCGGGCGATAACAAAAGAGTCCGTTGGGCGAGCTCTTGAAAAATTAGAGGATATATCTATAATGTAATAAATAAAAGAAGGAAGAAGGAACAATAAAAAAAAAAGAGAATGCGCTGCTTTACTTAGGGCGGTCCCAGTGACGTCACCGACGCCGCACCCCCGTCACGTGGTTCTCACTGGGCCGAATCGATCGGCAGACATTTCACTTTCAGCCGAATTTCAAATAAAACAATAAACTCGCATATTGTGTAATACGAATAAGACACCAGTGAATACTCAAATATATTTGATTGATTTCAAGGGTTTTTGTCGTGGGACAAAGACAACTGTCACGTCGATTTGGAAAAGGAGCTTCAAGCTTTGGTTGCTCAGGCACCCGAGGGTGAAGAAGCAAGAAATGGTAATTATCAATTATGATCAACTGCAATGGCCCATAGTGCGACAATTGTTATGATAAATATTGGCAATTGCAGGTGAACGATTGATTCAATACGCAACTGAGAATCTAGTGACAGAAATTTTAATTCATCCCCAGTCAAATACATTACTTCAATGCATTCGAAATTTACTCGCTAGTTTCACGAAGCATCGGCACATTATTCACGCCGGTTATACGTTCAGTGAGAATGGTTCCTGGATACTGCAGGTCTGACATTATTATAACAAGATAAATTATTATATATTCGGCTACTCGTTGTGAAAAAAATTCAATTGAATTATTGTATTGAATTTTGAAGGATGGAACCTTCAGCCTCGCTGACTTTTTGGACGCATTTAACGAGCACGATGTGCAGAGAGTGCTTCGGGCTTATGAAAATAGCGTAACTGTGGATATTAATTGCGCAGCCATTGGCGAATGGTCTGTGCAGCGTCTATCCAAAGAACCCTGTACTAGGTAAATTAATGAATATCAAGAAATAAAAAAAAATCCAACCGAAGAATTAATAATAATGTTGAGATAATAAATGATGTAGGTCCTGCAGAGTTCGGCTTAATCCCGATGACGTGTTAACAGCGGGTGTACCTGCAATAACAAGTTTCACAAATTACATCAGCCAGTACCTAGTACCACAAGCGCTGGACCAACTGATGCAACCATCTGATGTCGTTGGTAATATTCGATTCAGCCATCCAACATTGTACGTCTTCCCTGGTGGTCAGGGTGATGCAGCTCTTTTCGGAATAAATGGCTTCAATATGCTCGTCGATGGTGGCTTCGCCAGAAAATCTTGCTTCTGGGATTTCACAAGACACTTGGATCGTCTTGATGCTGTCTTATTAACACGCATGAATAATAGCAACGTTGGGGGTATGTCTAGTGTGCTCTGTAAAAAACGGGAGATGCAGGTTTATCCCCATATTGGACACTTCTTTTGCAATCTCGTCGAGCGAAAGCACTCGAATTCACCCGATGGGGATAAAGATCTCGATCCATTGATTCTCAGTTTAACTGAATTGGGACAAGAGATGATGCTCAATCTCAAGCATATAAATCTCAGGCCACATCCGTGCTACAGAGAGCCCGAGCCAATAAATCTTTATCAGAAAGTTGGCCATGGTACACTGGACATGTATGTTTTGAGTCCAAGCAAGGACAGCCGCGAGGTACGCGAATTTTTGTCAAAGTGGAATGCGGGCGATTGGAAATTATTCGCTGGTTCCCATAAGAAAGACTCGAACAACTTGACATTTCCCATTCAAAATCTCGTATCAATATGTGCATTATTAGTATGGCAGCCTGCCAATCCCGAGGACACGATAACGAGAATACTATTTCCAGGTAGTACACCTCAGCACAAAATATTTGAAGGCATTGAACGCCTCAGGCATCTTGAATTTCTCAAGCACCCGAGGTGCACGGCAAAGAGCATATCACCCTCGGCTTCGTTAGTTGCACTCAAGGATAAACCGATGAAAATTCAGAAGATGAATCTTATGGATAGGGAGACTAAACGTGCTATAGAGGTGCGAAAAGCTAAGCGTGAAGATGAGACTAAACAGAAAATCGAACTGACTCAACCAGAAAAGGGCGAGGAGAAACCCAAACCTATTCCGAAAAAGAAGGAAATTGTTGAAAATAAGAAAATTGATAGTGATATCAAGGAAAATGGTGTTAAAGACGTTAAGAAAATCGATAAGGAATTGAAGGATATTAAGGATGCAAAGAAAATGATCAAGGATGATGTTAAAAAGACTGAAGTGATAAAAAATAAACCGGAAACTGAGAAAACTGCGGTAATCAAAGAGATGAAACCGAAACCCGAGCGTAAAGAAAAGAAAATAACCAAAGAACCGATCCAAAAAATTTCTCTTCCAAAAGCGAAAGCCGAGGCGGCCCCTGAGAAGAAGACCAAAGCACCGACACCAAAGAAAATTGTCAATGGAGTTTCACCTAAACCTGAGGACAAGGTGAAAGCAGCACCAGCAAAGTCTGCACCAAAAACCGCAGCCAAAGTTCTACCAGCGGCTGCACCCAAGAGTGCTAAAGATGCTAATAATCGAAAAGTAGTTGAGCAGAAAAATATAGAGAGGATGAGCATGTCCAAGGCAGCAGCTAAACCTAAAGCTACTCCACCCACGGAGAAAAAACCTGTGCCAAGGCGACCAAAACCCAGTGGAAGTCCCAGTAAAGCTAAATTCGTTGCTGGTAGTCCAATAAAATCAGCAAAGAGCACCCCAACTGCCTCAGTAAAGTCCGATAAAGATGGAGTCATGAGGAAAATAAAGACTGAAAAGGGCACAGCGGATTCATCAACTGTATCAACACCATCAGCAATTGAAATTGATTCAATGACTAAATTTACGGACAAATGTTTGACGGAGAAGTCAGAGGACATGTCACTTGATTCAATTGAGTCGAAGGTTCTGGCTGATCTTAAAGAGGAACGCCAGGTTGTCGAGGAGATTGAGGCAGTACTGCAAAAAGCGGAAAGAATTGAAGTAGCGAGAAAGGAGAGCAGGATTGACGGTGAGGATGAAGTAACTGGGGATGCCACCGATAAAAAAGATATTACTGAGGACATGACTGAAGACGATGTCACTGCTGACATTGATGAAGTACCACGAAAAACTCCGACTAGGAAAGCCAGTCAGGAGCAATTAACCGAGGAAGAGGATGAATATCTTATTATCGAAAAAGAGGAAGGTGACACTGAGGACTCTGTGCACAGCGGGGAAGCTGAGCATAAGCATTTCTTGGATGCAGCCCAATCGGAAAAGGAAAAAATCCTAAAAGATGAGGAGTACGAGGAAAAAGAGGTCGTTGATGAGGAAGAATTGGAACCCGAGGAAATAGAGGAGGAGGACGAGGAAGAGATCGATGAAGAGGAGGACGAAGGCGAGGAGAAAGAAATGGCGGTGGAGAAGGGGATCATGGAGGAGCGCGAGAAAAGTGATGATGCATCTGAAAAGAAACCTCATCCAGAAGTAGAAAAGACTCCGGAGAAAGCAACCACACCTCTCGCTGAGTACAAAGAGCAGCCTGAAGATGAAATGAAAGGGATAATCACATCGGCAACTGAAATACTCCAGAAAACAGAGGAGAAAGACGATTCAGGGAAAAAAGATAGTGAGGATATAACAAAAGAGCCATCGAGTTTGAGTCCTGAGAAATTGGATTCTTCTGAAAAGAAAACAGATACTGACGTTAAGCCAGAAGTGGAAAAAACTAAAGAGAAAATGGAAGAATCACAGGAACGTATATCCACTATAGAGTCAGGTGCAACTACCACCGCACCAACTTTGCCTGAGGACGAACGAATTCCTGTGGATGCGGCGAAGCCATCGGTACCCGAAAAAACGGTTGACGATAAAAAAGTGGAAGTGCCGCAAAAACCCAAGGATATAACACCATTAGCCGCTGAACCCAGTGAGGTGAAAGCTGAGGTGCGAACATTTAATATTCGTCAAGGTCCTCAAGCACTCCAAAGAGACATCGTTAAAACTCCCGATGAGGTAGCCGATCTGCCTGTGCATGAAGAAGTTGACCCGAAACTCTACAAAATGGAAGATTTTGAGAAATCTAAAGATGAAAAAGCTCAAGCACCAATTAGTGCTCCTCAGGAACTGAAAGAATCACCGAGTAAAGAGCAAAAGGGTGTTTTCAGTTTCTTTGGTAAAGTTGCGGATAAATTTGAGAAGGGAATGGACAAATTGACGGGAAAGGGTAGAAGGGATTCGGAAAAAGATATCGATGAGAAATCTTCATCTAAATCAACTTCTCCTAAAGGTGATCTATGCCTCGATGCTGCTCCTACCGTTGTTTCCGAAGTTCAACTCCCTAAAGTTGTGGAGAAAGAGAGAGAGAGAGAGAAAGAAACAGAAAAAGAAAAAGATTCGGTAGAACCACCAGAGACTGTACTCTCAACGCCGGCTCCTCAACCATCGCAACCAGAGGACAAAACCAAAAAAATTCCGGCTGATAGCTTACATAAATCAATTGAAGCTCTTGACGATTTGGAAGATGCCGATGGTGTTGAGGCCCTTCTCGAGGAAGCCTCAAAGAAATTTAAAACGGTGAAAGATAGCCTCCGCGATTCCCTGGAATCGCTGGAAGAAAAAATCGTTGAGGAAGAATTCAAACGAGCTGCGGAACTCGCAGTATCCACCAAAGATGAAGTAAAAGATACTCTTGAAGAAGTTGTGGAGAAATTAGAGGAGATTCAACCGCAGATGCATGGAGTTGTGGTGGACGAAAAAGAACCTGAGAAAGTGCACTTCGTTGTACCTGCAGATGATGAAGATGAAGATGAGGAAGGAGATGGCACTGATTTAGTGAGAGATGTCAAAGAGGCTGTACGTGAAGTAGGTGAAGTACTCGCAGGTACTGCCGGTATTTTACTTGATGAAAAACCGAAAGATGTCATCGAAATTGTTAAGAAAGTCGCAGAAGTGTTGAAAGAAGATGACTTCTTGTCCGAAAAAGCCCTCTTCGAGTCACCTGCTAAAAGCCCTACTCAGAAAGATGAAATCGAAGAAGTGGTTGAGAAAAAAACGTCTTCAATGTTGGAATGCAAGGAGGAACCGTGCATTAAAAAAACCGTTGAAGTAGAGCCTGTCGAAGATTCTGAAAAGCAAGTTGCAGACAAGTCCGATGCAAAAGCTATTTGCCAAGATTTGATGAAGGATGAAGTTTCTGTGCAGCGGAGAAAACGTAGTCTCACAGAACAAGAGGGCATCGACGTTATGGAAGCGGGTGTTGAAGAAGTTTGCCAAAAGATTGAAGTGCCTGAACGCCAAGAAAAACATGAGCCTCCAGAAATTGACAGCAAAGAAGACAGGCGCGATTCAGTGGAAATTGAACCAGCCCAAATTTCACTTGAACATAAAATAGCTCCGACTACTGCCGAGTACGTTATTGTGACACCTGATTCACTTCCAGCATCGCCAAAATTCCCCAGTGAGAAGCTCCAAACTCACTTAGAAAAAGAAATTATTGCTTCGAATCTCCCAAGACCTGGACTTCCTAAAGAAGTTCAAGACATTATCGAGTCTGCCAAGACTCTTGATGAAGTCATTGGGCAGTTGGTCTTTGCCAAGAATGAGAAAATAACAATTGAAATAATTGAATACATAATTTTAATTAGGCGTGTACCTAGAGAACAAATTATGCACGTTATCCAGGAGATAATCACTAAGAAAAAAGTGCCGCAGAATACTGTCGTGGCTGATGTTAAAATTTTACAGCCTGAAGAACAACCGGAAGTAGAAATAAAGACCAAAATCAGCGGGGTCGATGAGAAGGAGAAAGATACCGATACGAAGGCCGAAACTCCAGCGGACGACTCAATGATTACGGATCAACAGAGATCAGAAATCGAGTCAGAAATATTGAACGAATACTTGACGAAAAATAAAAAGATAACAAAAAACATTATTGAGGAAATTCATGTTAAACGACGAGTTCCTATATACGTTATTATTGAGATTATAGAATATATAATTATTCAGAAAAAATTGCAGAGGCAATCACTTCTGGATGTTGATGATGCAACATGGGAAAAATTGAAATTGGATTATGCAGGCGACGGAGAAGAGGAAGGAAAGTCTGTAGAGGAAGATCAACATCTTGAAGATTTTATAATCGTTCCGTCAGCAGGAGAAGTTGAGAATCTTCATCGCATAGAGTGCGAAATTCTCGACAATTATATTGGCAAAGGAAAAAAAATCACACGGACAATTGTGGAAGAAATACATGTAACGTGGAAAATTCCTATTTACGTGGTGCTTGAAGTAATTGAAAAAATCATTATTACAAAGAAACTCCAGAAAAATTCAGTGGTCGAAATTCCAGAGGGAGTTTGGAATGAGATGGTGTCTGATGCCTTGAACGAGGAAAAACTCGCTTCAGAGAAGGCTCATGACGGTTTCGAAGCTGTCGAACAAGAGTATAAATTTTCGGAAGAGAAAGAGAAAATTGAAACAGCTGGAGTGGAACGAGGAGAAGTTTTGGAGGAAGACACCAGTGATGTTATGGAAGCTGACGAGAAACTCATCGACAAATCATCAATAGAGAAACCCCGACTGTCTATCACTGATAAAATAAAAACCGACACCGATGGAAAGAAATCGCCAGTCGAAATAAAAAAAGCAGAGACTATTGTATCACATGAGGAACCAGAAGTGTCTGCAGTGGAGTCCGAAGTGGATGACGAATCATCATCAGTTCGTCGGATGATTGTTACAGCAACTAGTGAGGATGGCGGTGATGAAACCGTTATCTGTCCAACCGGAAGCATTACCTTTGGCAAATCGATTACTCCAGACGATTCACTCAAGGGTTCTCCAATAAAAACTGAACATGACAAAGATTCTCTGCATTCACATGAGAGCACTCCTGAAAAAGATAGCATTTCGGCGAAGGACAGTTTGGATAAATCTCCCACGAGTGTGCGCGATTCTCAGACTTTGGACGACAGTATCGAAAGATCTAAAACCGAGGAAAAAAAGATTCCAGAAATTCCTGCTCCCGCTGTCGAGGAAAAAACCATGAAAGATCTGCATCTCGATCAAATTGATAAACAGCCATCAGATTATGACAAAACTGAAGACGCCTCACCAGCAGAGAGTGTTTTTGCTGAATCTCCTCTGAAGGAACCAATGAAAAGGGATATGGTTGATGCCAAACCCATCCCAGATGCAAAACCATTAGAACAAGTGCCCCCACAGGAAGAAAAAGTCGACGTCTCTGTAGAGAAAGAGCCGACGCTGATGAAAGAAACAATGGAGAAGGAAAAAATTGATGTGGTTCTCGATAAGTCACGATCTTCCAGTATTGGATCTCTAACTCAGGAGGAGGTAACGCCTACCGCAATAAAAACCTCAAGGAGAGACAGTACTATAAGTCAGGAACCAATTATTAAACCTGATGGAAAAGATAGTGCTCATGATGAATCAATTGCAACGCCAATTACAGCACCGAGTGCAGATCATCCAGATGCAACGATTAGGAAAGAAAGTGTAACTGCTGTGGAAAAGGATAAAATTGTAACAGACGTGAAAGCTGAGGCTGATGAAACGAAGATAAGTTCAACAATTGTCCCAAGTGATAAAGCTGTTGATCTAAAAACTCTGGATAAAAAAATGGAGCGAAAATCCCCCAGTCCCAGTCCAGACACTGAAAAATCTTCTGTATCTCCCGATGTTGCAGCAACTGGGAAAGATGAAGAAAAAGTGAAGGAATCAGACGCAAGCCCTGATATTTCACTCGCTCCAAAAGAACAGACAAAAGAGGAGGAACCGGAAGAAAGTGCGGTAGAAATCGATGAGAAATCTTCTACCATACCACCAATTTCTCCAGTTGCTTCATTATCTCCAAAAGAGAGTTTGATTGAAGAAAAAGAAAAATCGGAAGAGAAATTATCGGAAAGCGTGGAAGAGAAAGTGACTTCACCCCTGCGAAGAGCAAGCGTTGCCTCATTAAAGGATGATGAAGTGAAAAAATCGTCTGCCCCTGAAACTTTGGACGATCACGAATCAGGGGAGAAAGAGAAGAATATCGATGGAATCGCCGATAGCAGGAAATCACCGACGCCTCCGAAAGAAATTTCGCCAATCAAGAAAGGAATTTTGAGTGAAGAAAAAGATTCACTGGATGGTACTATTGGAACAACGATTGGGGTTCCCACCATTACCGATAAATTATCGATAACTTCTAAAGACAATTTATCACTTGATACAACAAAACCCCCACCGATTATGGATAATGGCAAACATGGCGAGATTAAAACAGATACTGAATCTGATCATAAAAAATCGCCGAGTCCAAGTCCCACAGAAATAAAGTCTGCGCAATCATCCAGAGAGACATCTCCAATTCGTAAACAGAGTTTACTCACTGAAGGTGTAGATGTTAAAGCTGATATTGTTGCAGACGACAGAAAATCACCAGCTTCGAGCATTGGAGATGTCAGATCGACGAAATCATCCAGGGAAGTCTCCCCAATTAGAACGGAGAAGCTTATCGTGGAGTCTGATATGAAAATTGATGAGGATGACAAGAAATCTCCAACACCGAGAGTAACTGATGCAAAGTCTTCGCGGGATATTTCGCCGGTGAGAAAGGAAAGTTTAATTGCTGACAAACTTGATGAGAAGGTGTCACCCAGTGTAACTTCAACCTCTCCAATCAGAAGAGGAAGCATTAGTCATGATGGAAAAGAGTCTCTTGAAGTAGCTGAAAAGTTTGATGAGAAAACAGCCCCAAGTCCAGCGGGCTCCATTTCTCCAATTCATAGATCAAGTTTAACTGTCGAAGAGAAAGCATTACCGAGTGCCCCTCTAGCAGAGCATGAAGAAAAAATGATTGATTCTCAAAAATCGCCGACATCTCCCGGCGGTGCTTCACCAATTAAAAACCAGATTGTTGGAAAATTGGAAGAATTGAGTGTAGAGCCAGGAGTCGGTGAAACATCTCCTGTGAAGAGTATCAAATCTCCAGCATCTCCACGAGATAAATCCCCATCAGAAAAAGAAACTATTGTTCCTGAAGAAAAAGTATCAGCGAGTCCAAGATTATCAATTGATTTAAAATCTGATAAAAAAATTGGCGACGGCAAATCGCCTAGTCCTATTGCTCCAAGTATTAAATCTTCAACATCTTCAGGTGATACTTCACCTATTCGAAAAGAGAGCCTAGGGTCCGACAAGAAATTGCCCACGAGTGATTTGGAAAAAGAAGGAATTGACTCAAAATCTGGAGACACAAAAGACGAGAAGAAAACACCGAGCCCAACCATTGGAAGCCGCAAGTCTTCAATCACTCCTCAAGATACTTCATCAATATCACCGCGAAGAGCATCTGTCGATATAAAAGATGATGCCGACGCGATTTTGATACCCGATGAGAAAATTGCTATCGGCGGGACTTCCAGATTGTCAGTTGACTTGGAACCCGAAGACGTTGCAATTGACAAAAAATCTCCCAGCCCAATTGCTGAAGGCGTGTCGTCAATTTCTCCACGAGAGACTTCACCAACTCGAAAAGAAAGTCTTGCTCTCAGTGAAAAAATATCTGCAAGCCCCAGAGTATCAATTGACATTAAACCTGAAGTGGGTCTTGATGGAAAATCTGTAAGTCCTGTCATAGGAAGCCCTAAATTAGCGTCCCCTCGTGATACCTCTCCAAGCAGGGAAGTTCACACATTAGAGGAAGAAAGAATGTCTCCGACTTCAACTCCAGTGGTGGCAGCTGATTCAAAACTTGATGAAAGTCATGAAAAAGCCCCTAGTCCAGATGAGAAAGCCGTGGTTGGTGATACTCCACGGGCATCCATTGATATTAAACAACACCAGGAAACTATTGATAAGAAGACCCCTAGCCCCGATGAAAAAGTCACCGTCAGTGAAACTCCCAGAGAATCTGTCGATATCAAATTGGAAAAAGAGATTATCGAAAAAACGCAGCGTAGTCCAGAAAAAGTCTGCGTCAGTGAAACTCCAAGAGCATCCATCGATAAAACTCTATCTAGTCCAGATGAAAAAATCTCAGTCACCCAGAGCGCACCTATCGATATAAAACAAGAAGAGAAACCTATTGACAAAGAGTCATCTAGTCTGGATGACAAGGTCGCGTTTAGTGGTACTTCAAGTGGAACTCTTGACGTCAAACACGAAGAGGGGACTAGCGATAAAAAAACATCTAGTCCAAATGAAAAAGTATCGATCAGCACGCCAAGGGCATCCGTTGATATCAAACACGACGAGGATGACGATCACAAAATCTCAATCACTGGAATTTCAGCGCCATCAATTGAAACGAAACAGCCTGAGTTTACTGATAAGAAGGTACCCAGCCCTGATGGAGTCGCGAGCGAAGCTCCAAGAGCATCAATTGATATCAAATTGGAGGAGAAGATTACCGAAGAACCTAAACTAGAGGACAAAGTCTCAGTTACCACCCCAATTGCACCCATGGATATTAAACAAGAGAAAAAAGAAGAGAAAATTATTGATAAAGAGTCAGCCAGTGCAGATGACGAAGCCCTAGTCAGTGAGCAGACAGCATCTGTCGATATCAAAATAGGTGGGGAGATTGCCGAAAGGGAGTCACTCAGTCTACATGACAAGGTCTCAATTAGTGGTACTTCATCTATTGATATCAAACAAGAAGAAGAACCAGACGATAAAAAAACTCCTAGTCCAGATGAGAAAGTCGAGATGAATAGTACGGCAAGGTCATCCATTGATATCAAATCTGACGAGACTGACATGAAGGAGACTGTTTCCGATGGCAAAATCTCGGTCAGTGAAACTATAACGGTCTCTGCCGATACAAAACATTCCGAGATAACTGAGAAGAGGACACCAAGTCCAGATGAGAAAATTTTGACCAGTGGTACTCCGAGAGCATCTGTCGATATAAAATCAGCTGAGGAAATTACTGTATCCACTATTTCTCCCGCAGCTCTCTCACCAGTCAAAAGTATATCGAAAATAACGGATGATAAAGGTGACGAGAAACATGAAAAATCAGCAGTCAATGAAATTATCACCGAAAAAACAATCATACAAGAAATTACAATGAAATTAACAGATGGTTTAGGAAATGATAAAATTAACGGCAAAGAATCTCTGAGTCCTAGTATCGTTGATTCGAAATCTGCAACGTCTTCACGTGGCGTGTCTCCAGACAGAAAAGAAAGTTTAAAAGACGTGAAATCATTGGCTTCATCTCGTGATGCCTCTCCAATTCGAAAGGAAACTGTAATTTCGGAAGTGGCTGGAAAATCTCCAGAATCCGCTTCAATTGTATCACCACCTAAAAAGGAAAGTCCAGCTCCAGAAGTTGAGGATACGACCGTAATCCTTGAGAGTTCTACGAAGACAACAGAAGAATCACGCGATGTTGAATTAATCGAGAAATCTCCGGAGTCATCCCAAGTGATTTCTCCGATCAGAAAAACAAGTTTAACCCTCGAGTCAGAGGGAAAAACTGTGGTATCCCCAGAGGTCATATCGCAAAAGAAAGGTGATATCAAAATGGATACACAGCTGTCACCCCAAAAATCTCCAGAACCACTGATGAAAGACGCCATTGAAAAGGATATGGGTATACGATCACGATCGTCTAGCATGGCTTCCGAAAAATCAACGGTCGAACCAACAAAAGATGAGAAAGTCCCAACAAAAGAATTATTACATCAATTAGACTCACCAGTTCCTGTCGATAAATCTCCAGCTCGATCACCAACCCATTCACCTGCTCAAAAACCAACAACCGCTGATAAACACGAGGAAGTGGAATTTCCAGAGGCTCCATCACGGGACCGATCTCGATCACACAGTCTCTTCGACGCTGGAGAAAAAACTCCTCTAGGCAGATCAAGAGCAGCTAGTCTTTTTGAGGATAAAGAAGATATTGTAAAAGCTGTCTCGCGAAAATCCTCAGGATTATCCGAATTCCATGAAGATCACTTTCAGCGAGAGGAAGCTGAAGATGATATAGAAATATCAGAGGCTAAACGTATTAACATTGAGCGATACATCATAAGCCAGTACGTATCCAGAAAGCAAAAGATAACTGAGGCAGCACTGGAAGAGATAGTAGCACTGTTTGAAGTGCCAAATTATATCGTCATTGAGAAAATTTACGAAATCTGTGAAAAAATGAAAATTCCAAAGGAATCGATAATTGACGATGTGAATGTCTTTGAAAAGACACAGTTGCAGGTCTCAAAGGGATTACCAGAGGCTAATATGCTCTTGCAGATACCTCTGACTACCAAAACCAAGATGGAAGACTATATAACACAAGAGTACATTGTAAAGAAGAAACGAATTACTCCGAAGATTCTTCATGAAATTTCGCTGTTGAAGGGATTAGACGAAGAGACCATCTTGCTTATAATTGAGTTGATCATCATTGAAAGAGAAATACCGAGGGAAAGCCTCATTGAAGATGATACTTTTGTAGGACATTCAAGTCGAAAAAGTCCAGCTATAAAGGAAGGAGACGAGATTCATCAATTTGAGGGCTATAAAGGATACGCTGGAACAGGAGGTGGTATTACTCAATACAAAGAGGAACACAAGTCTGGAAAATCCTCTCCAGAGCGAAGATCCTCAGGGTATTCTACTCCTGAAGTTCGACATTACGATGACAAATATGAAAGCCAATTCCATAAGGCTTTTGTTGGAGGCATGACGGAAATTCGCACTACTCACATAACAACCTTATCCGGTAAATCAACTCCTGATGTTGGCACAAGGATCGACACCCCAGATTCTCTTCAAGATACCGTTGGATCCTCTGATAAAATGAGCCATGAAAATATGGAGGGCGAACCTGTTGTTATTAAACGTACAATTAGAACGGAAGTACCAGAGTATGAAACTGTCATCACAAAAACTGTAGTTAAACGAGAGATAATAGAGGAAGACGACGATGGGACACCCGACGATAAATCTAATATAGCTGGTGGATTTGATGAGAAAGGCGTGATGAAAGTTGATCTCAGCAAGAGTTTAATCTCCTCGTCTTCGGGGAGATCAACACCTGACAGGATTAGGGATTTGTCGGAGGGTAGATCTAGCACAGCTACACCAGACAGCCTTCGCTCGCATGAAGTTATAAAGACGACTATAACGAAAACTCGAACATTGTCCGATGAGGGTGAGATTATCACAACAACGAAGGAAGTAACTGAGACGACTAATGAACATGGTGAAACAGTGGTAGTTGAGGAGAAAGTTGATGTCAAAACAACTCCAGCAGAACCAGGGATTGATACTACTCATCATCGGCTTGAACAACGACCTCATGAGGACTCAGAGGAGGACTCACCCCTCTCTGCAACATCCCAAGTTTATCATTACAATGAAGCTGACCAAAAACATGTAGAATTTTCAACAGCTGACATGAGCAGTAGTTTCTACGGACAATTACCGGATATCCCACCACCCCGTCACTCCACTGAAACTGTAGGAGATGACAAGGATTTTTCATTCAAGAAATTTTCACTGGAGAAACAGGTCGTTGGAGGAGCTGACGAGCACATGACCACTTCACGACAATTCTCCGATGTTGCTGATTACGACGTTGATAAAGTACTTAGAGAACACGAGAAAGACCAGGAGGGAGATGACGAGGACGAGGCCAAGGATCCGATCGGAGGCTGGGGTACTCCATTAAAACTACCTTCTCCCGAACGACCCGATAAATTCAATCTTCGATCAGTTCCAATTGTTCGTTCATCGGTGGACATGTCACCAGACTCTCTCAATTTTGATGTCATCAATGACTGGGGTGAACCACTCAGACTACCATCCCCTGCTCCAACTGCTGATGAGGTATCTAATAAAGCTATGCCCCCTACTCCGAAGAAGGAACGCAGACAACCGAAAAAAATCGTTGCTGAAAATATGAAGAATAAGAAGCGCTCTGATAGTCCCGCCAACAAGGAGAAGAAAAAAGAATCGAAGAAGGTCCAGCCGGTTTATCTGGACTTGACCTATGTTCCACATCATGGCAACTCTTATTACGCAAGCTTGGAATTTTTCAAACGTGTACGGGCTAGGTACTATGTTTTCAGTGGAACTGAGCCTAGTAGAGAAGTCTATGATGCACTGCTAGATGCCAAGAAGACTTGGGAGAATAAGAATCTCGGTACGTCGTTTATTAAGTGGATTTAAATGGGCCGACTTAGGGTAGATACGGAAGTTTATTGTAATTAATGGATGTGATTTTTTTGCAGAAGTGACAATGATTCCTACATACGATACTGACACTCTCGGTTACTGGGTAGCTGATAATGAGGAAGCTCTTGCAGCTAATCATATTGATCTGTCACCATCAGCATCGCGTTGCACAATTAATCTACAAGATCACGAGACAAGCTGTAGCGCTTATCGATTAGAGTTCTAGGACATGTCAGCATGCTCAGCTCTACTGGTCGAATTCTGAGCGAAATAACCATCACCGTCAGACTCTTAATATCCTTGATAAATGAGAATTAATAGAACGAAGGAAAAAATATTTCTCATTCGGCATGAACTAATTGTTCACAATGATCTAATTTTCATAAAAGAAAATGATCTATTATCTTGCAACAATTACTTTTTTTTCTCGACATATTATTAAATTCAGAGCAGCACAAAATAATTGAATGAAATCGATAATCTACAGGCAGAGTAATAAATGAATAATTATGCCATCATTGAAGTTAGATTGGAGGAGAATGAATTATGCAAGTGGGCCTTAAGTACTTCCAGTCGTGATTCTCGATAATCTAACATCCGCCAGTCATTAAACCGAAATTCTTTCGTTGAAATTAGTATGAAAAATCTCGACTGTGAAACAAGTGAATAATATTGTGATAAATTTCAGCAGGAGATTGTGACATTTAATAGGAAAAACCAAGTAACATGCTATATGCTTTATCATTTGCGATACGATGGGATTGAATCTCTCTGTGCACCTATTGCTTTAACTCCGTAAGATTTATCTTTTATTTATCCCTGATGATTCAACAGTTAGTATCGACAGACTGTATTATGTTAAATTCATGTGGATGGATGAAATTCTGCAGTCGAATGAGACAAAGGACAATTCAATGCAATGGGCACTGTGTGAGTGCCTTTATTTCATTGGATTGCACCATCAAAAATTGACATTTTTCTAGTCACCAAATTAATTTGCAGCTAATTAAATCCATACAGGTATGATCTATATACGCCTTCCCATTACTGGAGGAAAACATTGGGTAAAGAATTGTAAAGGAAATTGTTTATTGGCTTCCTTACAGAGTGAGTTTTCTGATCAAAATTGAAGTCATCATATAGTTATATAATCGGCTTAAAAGCTTATCGAGTTATTTTAATGTTTATTATGCACTGCTTGACATTTTATCTGAAAAATATTTATATTGAAGTTATTGATTATTGAAACTCATTTAAAATATATACGTATTTTATGAGCAAAAGCTTGGCCTAATGGATAATCGGCTTTTTCTAAATTGGAAAACAAAATAAAAAAAAAAATTATATGAAAAATATAAGTGATAGTTGATGAAAGTCTAAAATCTTTTGTTATTAAATTCCATATAAACAAAATTAGTCATAGGGTATTATTAAGCATGGATGCTTAATACTTGATTGCAATACAGGATGTGATAATGAGCTTAAAGTAGTAGGAGGGGAGGTAAGTAAAATGAAGAACCATGATATCTGTTTGTCTGGACGCGGGCTCGACAAAACGATACGAATATATTGGCATAAGTTGCCTTAAAAGATTTATATGAATGGACGAGGGAATAATAAAGAATGAGAATCAAAATAAAGTGACATATACGAATTAACAAGTGTATACATTTTTTTTTTTGACATTCATTGATTATGAAACTGTCTCTATAAGGAAGCACTTCGATTAGTATGAGATATTAATTATCGAATCAAACTTTGCGAATTACTGAATATAATAAATTCAAAAGGAAAAAAAAATCATTGTTTTATTGTTTTTACTTGAACCAAAATGAGGCAGTCCACTGGTCTTCTACTTGGACGTAAAAAATGTAACAAACTCGCCCTCGATTGAGCCGTATTATTCAATATGCTTGAAATTTCCATCCAAAAAAGTTTACGTGATTAACCAGAAATTACCATTTAATATTAGATATTGATATACAATATTCGCTCGATTTTGAGCAACTTGGAAAGGATTTTTTATTTCTCTCCCACATTGACGTGATTATTATTACGATTTACAAAACTACCCGTCCGTCGGATCTGCTTTTATGAAAAATATAAAAATTCAAGAAAAAACACGGAAAAACCCACGTATCTAGGCAGCAATAAGACAGCATGAAAACCAAAAGACGTCAAACGGAAACAAATAAAAACAATTCAATTTTTGTACTTGTTCTTTGGGCAGAGATAATTACTGTAGTGATGGAATTGTAGACAACCATTTGAGAAGAAAAAAAACATTCGTAGACGAGAGGCATAAATTAGCGTTGAACTTGGTACGGCATTTGAGGGAATAAAACTTATGAAAGACATTTAAATACTTCTGATATCAATGAATAATTATTTAATAATAATAATAACTATCGTACTGGTTTGAAGAGTATCGAAATAGGATATATAGACATCAGGATAATTGAATTATCAAAAATTCCGATGAATTTTGTTAATACAATTATTGTGATGATTCACCCTACGAATGTGATGGAAAATGCTTTTTATATATTGCATATATTGAATGCAAACTATTACTGGAAATGATGGGAAAATACGAAATAATAAAGAAAAGGCGATGCCAGATAAATACATTTATCCATTGTTTATAAAAAATAATTAAATAACGACCAGCTACCTAGGTAGGATGTTAAAATTATAAAATTAATAAGACCGATGATAAGATGAAAATGAAACTATTAATCATAAAATGAAGTTTGATGATGAGTTATTGATGTAGTGACTCGAGCTTTCACAGAAAATCATATGGAAAAGAGAATAAAAAAAGTGTATACCATAGAGTTAGCTATCTGTAATAATTATAGAAAATGGCGAATATGAAAAAATAATTGAAACATCTGGCGCCAATTCAAACAAGATGTTGACAATTTATTTCCCCATTGAACATTGCATGTTGAAAATTAATTGAAAAATTCAAACAAATTAAAGTACCAGGTGTTAAACGTGATTTCTACAATTTCTGGAAAATTCATGGAAATTTATAAAAAAAAAAATTCATTATCGTATAGGTGAATAGATGTATGCTTATTGTCATTAGAATCAATGTTTTCCACCGGTCATTCGGCTCCCGGGGTGGACCATTGTGTTATTCATTTGGAAAGCAAAGCTATGGAATCGATGAGGGTTTATGGTGCTATAGTTATTATTATTATTATTATTCTCGATTATTATTTAATAAAACACTACCATTACTAATATATACAATAGAAATTGGAAGAAAAGAAAAATGTTACGCTACATTATGAGGATAATATAGGAAAATATATTAAATTACACAAAATTGTGCTTCTCATTTCTAGATATACTCCCCATATCGCTAGTCTTGAGAGAGGAAAAAATTGTCACGAGGAAATAATCATCTTTCTTCATTCACGTAAACAACCATTTTATTCAGATTTTCTTAAAGATAGTGTATCAAAATCTCATCAGTATGTTCATTTCTTTTTAAAATAATCCGTTATCTAAAAACAATTCTCCTGTTCTTTAATTTCGATGCTCTATTATTCTTTGTACTCATTCTTACATCATAGAGGAAGTCATTCTCACATGATATATGTACCCAAGTATTTCAGAAACGATTATAAAAAATGACTAAATTTATTTTCATAAATGAATTGAGATTTCCAATGAGATTTTGAATGTCACATTAGCCTCTTCTCTCGGAATCTCTCAACTGATTTGTCGTATTGTTACCACAAGGCATCAGTCTCTACGAAAAGACATTTTCTCACATTCACCTATATTTAATGAGGTAAGGACAGGTGAGTAAATATTATGAACTGATGAAAAATGACGAAAATGAAAAAAAAATCTATAAAATACATCATTTTTTTTATATGTAGGTATGAATCAAAAGTTCTTCTCAACAAATAAAGAAAATGAGAAAAAAATATCGTAATAAAATAACTTAAAAATACTGAGCATACCAGTTATCTCACGTAAAATAATAATGCATAAATAAAATCAAAAGTTCTGAGATTAGCTTTGAGTCTGATCATGCAGAATCTGTCTTATCTTTTTCTTTGTTGTCACTCTGCCATTTCAAATTATCTCACTTAAGTTTTTTTTTATCAGCGCTCAGGCTATTATTTTTTGTCATGTTTCACTCGTCATAAGACAATTTTCATCGTGCTATAAAATGCTAAACTTTCAGACTTGTCAACCCCCTTCCCCACCGATGATGTTCCTCACTCTGCCATTTTTTAAAATAATCCATTTCGAGGTAATAATAATCCTCGTCGTGAATTCAGACAATTAATTGTGCTAGCAGTACTTACATTCACGTCGACTATATATCTAACACATCCTTGAGCGGTACTTTGGCGACCTCGAAGAAAATCCTGCAATGAGAAAAAAAAAATAATGAATCAGTAATTTTTTTTTCGACTGTATAATGTGTAAAAAATGTTCAGTTGATTGAACTGACTTGTGACTGTATTTATTGCGAACAGTTGCCAGGGCATCCTTCGGCTTCCTGTGGAGTCCCTCATTGAGCACATTGACTATTTCCTTGATCTCATTAACTTTGTACCCTGTGTAATACTCTAATGTTGAAGTCCAACCTCCGAGGTCCTTCATTTGAAGTGCAAGGAGAAGTGCAGCTGCTGCTATTTTACTGTCACTGTACATTATCGTCGAGTAATCCATTAATGAGTACTCGAGAATATAACGTGCTAATGTCAGAGTTGGCATCGACACTTTGGCACACCTTGCATATCGTCTCAAGAATCGATAGGAGAGTGGAATCCCGAGGTCAAAGTCAACAATTTTTAATACATTCATTTCCATCCTAATTAATTCTCGTTGGTTGTAAGCACCATCACAGATATACAAAAAATCTTCAATCATCGGGGGTATCCTTTCATCAAATTTACTAGCAATGAATAAACTGGCAGCGCCCAAAAGCTGCAACGTTTCCTTTCCTACGGTGACTTTAGTCAGATACAAGTCCACAAGCTTCACAGCCAAATAGAGAGTTTCGTGATTGAGTTCGAAAGATTCTTGCACTTCAACCATCCAGTCCACAAGCAAAGATCTCATCCATCGAGATAAACAAACTTGTTTCTCCATGTAATCGCCAATTGGAAATATTTCCTCTCTGCTCTTTAAATACTCAAATATTTCCATAGCGTACGGCGAGACTTGGTAAGGGTCACTCCAATTTTCAACGTCAAAGTCCCACGATACTCCTTGCGGCAGCGTCCTCGTGGGGGGAGCGTCCAAACGCTCTGCAATCGACTCTTTCTCAACTACTGGTGCCTTCTCCTTCTCCTTCTCCTTCTTCTCCAGGAGTTTAAGATTTTTTTCATTTTTCTTGGAGACTTCCTCGGGCACATCCTCGAGGGCACTGACGTACAGTGAACTCTGATCGGATTTTTCCAAGTCGAGACTTCTTCTCACATTGGGAACTTTGCTCGTCACGTCGACATGATCCTCAGTCCTTTTTGCCACTTTAGCTCGTGTCGCTACTTTTGGTTTAGCTGGTATCACATTGTCAGTTTTAATTACTACTTTCTCAGCATTTCTGAGATTGTGAGCTGGAGCTACTGTGGATTTCACTGGTTGCACTATTTGGGACTTTTTTACAATCTTTTTCGCCTCCGGTAATTGTACGCCCAATGATTTTCCAATAGCCTGGTAGAATAAAATTTATTTTATTTTTAAACACATTATCATTAAGAATTAAATAATGAAAAATTTAGAATTTATAAAAATTTCATAATAAGAGCATCAATTTGAAATAATAATTCTTATACAGGCAAGAATCCAGACTCACATTCGTAATATTCCCTAAAGCTGATCGTTTAGTGGTTTTTTCCTTGAGAGGTGAGGCCTCAGCTTTTCTTTTAATCCTCGGGTCTTTAACAATTGTTGGCATCCTCACGACCACCGGATTGTTGGCCAGCGCAGCTTTCTGATTTCTCGTTGTGATTCCCTTCCTCATGACGACCGCTGTATTCGGATGTTTATTCTGATTGCTTACTGATTTTGTCGGGGCCATTTTCTCCTTTTCGACTTCTTAATTACTGTTAACAAATAAAACCATCAATCATCAAGCATCTTGAATTTATTTGATAATATTTCCGATCGTAATGTGACAAATTGAAAAATACCGATTTTCGTACAAATAAATGAAAAATGAGAAATGGATTGTATAAAATGTCGGACGTGTGAGGCTGGCTCTACCTGAGCTGAATATTTTTGTAAAATCTCGACCTCTCGAGGTCCTTGGAAGGACGGAGAAACGTGTGATGCCCAGGGCAGGGGCGATCAACTAAAAACGCGGGAACCTTTCTGACAATCAATCAATAAATAATACATCACTTTTCATCTTTAAAAAAAAACCTCAAATTACCCGATTATCACAGAATATCTTCAGCTGTAATTAAAATCCCATCGAAAAATCGCGAAAGATAAAATAAATATCGAGTACGAAATGCCACGAGAGGAAGGCTGTGAGCGTTGGACTCGGGATCCAAAACAATCGGTGTAACGGTTGCAATCTCAATAATTATTCAATTATATATTATATGCCATGGTGTTGCCCAACTAATGACTTCACAAATACCTGGGTAACTCTCTAGCTGTTTATGGCCCTCCAACCGATGGAGAAACGGTTATTTCTGAATTTATTTGTCAACTAATTGTCTCTGTTGCAGCGCTTTCCATTGCCAAGAGACAACTGAAGTTGACGCTTTTTCAAAAATATCAAAGTTACGGTTACACTTTTCTCTGATTGGCTGACGAACTCTAGGAGACCCAGGAAAATCCCTAGCGACCCGGCAGGGCGGGTATCAGCCCTGCGATTTGTGCCCCAATCTCTCCTCGATTCCCCCCACTCTATCTCTACCGCTCCTATCATGTTATCGACACCCCCACCTCGTGCCCCGCCATATTTACGGGTAGCGCCTCTGATTTAGTTCCGTAGCGGCCGCTTGGACATTACGCCGTTGACCGTTACCATAAGCGCTGCTGATTTCCCCTATAATCTCTCGTATCAGCTGTGATATGGGGAATTTTCAAAAAAAAAAATTACGAAACAAGCTGTATTCGATGGAAAATTACATCCTCCATCCGAGTTATCCCGAGAATTTTTACAATGAAAAATTTCCATCGTTACATATTGAAAAAAAAAAAACATTTTTCATCTCTGAAAAATATATATGCGGGAAATATGAATAATTTGAATTAAAAAAAAAATTAATTAGTAAAATGAATGCAAGTGAATAGGATGGGTTGGAAAATTCAAAATATCCCGCCTAAAATCCACGTTTCAGAACTTCCGGCGGGGGGGTCCAACGTCAGTATAACGGAAGTGACGTTTTCATGTTATCTCGTCCACGTAGCTAGTAGAGCGTCGATGTAGAGGTTCCCAGAGCCGTCAAATAACACTTTGCTGAGTGTCCTCATTGACTAAGCAACGTGAGTATTATTTTTCCATTTACCCATATTATTAATTGAATATCCCTCACATTGTCCTATTAATTCTCTCACCAATATCAACAATGTGTAACTGGAGAATGATTCTGTGTTTTCGTTAATTTATAAATAAAAGCAATTTCGAAATTAACCCTGTCGTTTATGAGACATTGTGACTTGATAATGTTTTTTCCATGACATATGGACTCTGATGGATAATTTCGAGTTGGTCTAATGTGTTTTTCGGGAAAATCGACGTAAACATGTTCTAAGCCAATTGGAATGAAACCAACAGTCTCGGATTATTTTTACAACCTGTCTGTTCACAGGAACACACGAGTAAGATGGATCAGATCCTGAGGTACACAGACCCCAGTCGCAAATTTGCAAAAGACAGCATCAGATTGGTTAAGAGATGTACGAAGCCAGATAGGAAAGGTGAGAGACAGAAATTCATAGAATTTTTTATTCCTGAGAGAATAGATTTTTTATAATTTTTCGGACTGTAGAATTTCAGAAAATTGCTCTCGCCACTGCCATCGGCTTCTGCATAATGGGATTCATTGGATTTTTCGTCAAACTTATCCACATTCCTATCAACAATATCATTGTGTGAGTAGAATATCATCAATTCATCTAATTGCAATGACATTTATTTTTTTGGTGATTTACGAGTTTGGATATTCTCTTTTCTGATTTTAGGGGTTCATAAAATGCTGTTTCAACATCTGATAAATTATATTTATTGTCAAGAGAATATTTTCAATTACTTCCCTTCGATTCGTCGCTTAAAACTCGATTATACTCGGAGTTTTTAATTACACCGTGGAAGAATATGTGGAAACACAATTAATAAAGTATGACTGAGATGGATGAGAGATTATATGTGAGTACCGATTGATGAATTTTGTAATAAACAAATGGTAATTCCGATATTTTGGTTGAGTTTTATTTCATTCAGATTTTCACATATATGTTATGTATTTATAACGAAATCAGTAGTATCGAAGGCACTTGTGTTGTAAAAAAAAATCACTTCCACAGATTTGACGAATCAACAAAAAAATTTTCCATTAAAAAATGCATTGGAAATTGAACAATCGAGAAATCTATAATATTTGCATCAGTATTTTGAGAATTGATGCGTATGGCAGGCTATTAAAGCTACAAAGAAGCACTTTGTTTGTTTTTTTTTTATCCATTTGACTTGATGTAAATTCATGCGCAATATCATTTATCCAATTTCTTCTTTCTTCCCAAAATAATTTCGAGACTCGAAAAAGAAAGAGAAAGATGGTGAGACAGCGCAGGCTTTTGAAATACTCTGAAAACATTCCGTAATAAAAGCAGCTGGCCTTATTCCCATGGCCTTAAGCATTTCATTATTGAATTCTTTAATCACGAATACGCAGGAAAAAATTGTACGTTTTCGCAGAAAAAAAATATTTAATTAACTCCCGTTAATTATGGAAACGTACAACTTCTGTTATTGATTTCACGACCGCTCAGTGAATTCTCGGATAAATTCCGTTCAAACAAATAATTGGAAAAATATTGTCGGTCGTGTAACAATTTCTATATCTCAGTATAATCCGCGCATTATATTTGAGGTATATTGTTAGGTAATGCAATAAAAATTTTCTCTTAAAAAAATACATTCATATTAAGCGTGTAAATCTTAGTAACGTTTAACGTTTCATACTTAAAACTCGTTAGAGATACATTTCGTATAAAATATCCTTAACAACAATTAAATATCTACGATGTACTTATTAGTATAATAGGTATCATCTGTATTAAAGCACCATGGCATAAATCTTCATAACTTTGTATTCAACTCCGTCAATTACGTGAGAAGGCAAAAGTAAATATCCATTGGACAACTGATTTTAAAAATGATCGTCAGTTGGCCGTCATTTCTTCAGATGAGACTCATTATGAGCACGTGGCCTGCACTTGTACTCGACGCAACTGGCAGTCAATTTTTTTTTTCTTTCTCGGATTTCGGATTTGAGAATGTCACAGTAGAATTACAACGAGAGGAATGTCTTTTACATTGGCTTTAGAACTAAAACATGGAGTGATTGAAAAAAAAAAAAAAGAATTTTCTCAGAGATAGAGAGAGCACGTGATTTTAAATTTCACCATTTAAACTTAATATCGAGCTTGTCGATGTTGATGGAAGAAAGGCACTGATATTACTACTCACGTCGAACATTTTATCATTCCGCATCTGTGGACTTTCTCATGGAATGCATTATCATTTTCTCTGCAATTTTTCAATGTTATTCAGGAAATTCCTGAGGATCATTGTTTTTTTATGGCTTCAGGTGTGTCGAAATCGTTCGTTTCGAGAATATGCAGAGACTAAATTTTAAAAAATGAATATAACAATAGACTAAACTGTGCATCCTGCGTCAGAATTAGGGACAAACGGACTGTCCTGTCTATAATAATCCTGCCCCGATGTCTCATAGCTCTCGACTTTTACCGGATATTCAGTAACACAATTCTGTGGCTGATTCAGCGCTGGTGGTGGATAATTATCCTGGTAATTGGGTATGTAAAGAGGATCGTTGAATTGCTGACAGGACGTCTCGTTATTAACACTTTGCTTGAGACAGGTCGGTGTGTGCAGACTCAACATGTCCACCAGTCGTCTTCTCTGAGTCTCCAGTTCTTGAATCTGCGATTTTAATTCGTGATTCTGCGACTCTAGAGTTTCTGATTCCTGCACCAAAATCACTGTTTTCTCCCGTTTTTTTAATCTACACTTTGTCGCTGCTATTTTGTTGCGTTCTCTTCGTCTTCTGCGTCTTTCTTCGTCCTCCGGTGTCAGCTGCAATAATTTTATCACTTTCACGATTAAAAATCAATTGAATTTCAATTGAAGGGGCAATGACTAATAAAAAATAACATTTACCCCAGCTCGGAAATTGTGATTACTGGAGTCGTCGTCCTCCTCGTCATCAGCACTATTGTCCTCCTTTCTCGATTTCTTTTTTCCCTCATCTCCACTGCCATGAGCTCGCCTCTTCGTCTGCAGCGTCAATTTGAGTCCTGTTCCCACAGATGTTAATTAATCACTCATTTACGTTATGTGGACATTATTTCAACAGATAATTTTTATATTCAATGAAAAATCATAAAACTGGGCTTTACCTTCTTTTATCAATTGACTGCACGTGTGCTGGACACTGGGTGGACTTGGTTCACCTCCACTGCTAGTCGAGTCCGTTCTATCTCGACATTTTTCACTAGCAAAACCCTCGAAGGGATTTGTCATAGCAATTAATGAATTTACAATCTCCGGTGTTCTCGGTGTGACCTCGGCCGCCGCAACGCCGAGTAGACCCGCGGCAGCCGTTGGACTAGGATTCACGTTCACGTTTAGATTGTACATGATCAACACTTAACATTGAACCTGCAACACAAAAATATCCACAACTATTTGATAATTAGGCTAATTCATTTGCATTTACACTGTTGTGTAATGATCCTACACGAGACCCAAAGTTATTCAGCTCTGCTACAAGAAAAAATCCCTATGAGATTGGCCTTGACTAGAAGAAACAAACGGTGATGATGATATAACAAAGCGTTGGGCAAGGTCAAATTCTTCTCAGGAAGTGTGATTATTATTTTTTTTTTGGTTGAGAGAACAAAACAAATGAGGAATGAATTGTCTCGTGTTGAAATGGATTTGCGAATTCATCGAATCCAATGAAAAATCATGGAATGCAATCTTTCCCTGTGTATGACCTTTTTCTGCTCTTGCATTCACACTAGAAATTACTTTTTTACTCGTATTATTAATACAAACTATTTATTGTGACCTCTAAGCGAGTCCGGATGACGTAATGGATGTGAATCGTGAAAGCAAGCATCGACTAGCAATGAGGAGAGAGAGGAATAGAAAAAAAAATAAATAAATGGAAGGATGACAGGTGGATTGAACCGGACACAGAAAATAGTATTTCATGTTGTTGAATTGTTGAATAATGGGTGGTCTCGCCTTTGCTAAAATACTCTAGTCAATGGTAGACGTCAACTATATTTGAGGCTGAAAGGCACAGCTGATGACTGAGAAAAGCTGAAAATGTCCCTTGAGGTGTGGCATTTATTATCGGTCAAAAGGTTTTCTTTACTATTTCAAAAGTGAATATTCATGAAGTTCTCGTTACTCCGGAGACTAGAAATAAGACCCCATTTACCGTTTTCCGTGTAACGAGGTTGTTTAGGTTGTCAAGAGTCTTTAACGAGATTTTTTTATGTATTTTTACAGAAAGGGGATTCGACATTTTTCATTAGACGTGCATCGTTAGAATCTTAAAATAGCGGTCGTTTGATTTTGACGTATCGTCTGAATGCCCCGGAATTCATCTCTCCACGTTCTGCCAAGCATAACTCATCAATTAAACTCAAAATAAAATTTGAAAAATCCTCAATCATTTATAGGTAGCATGACACGTGCAGATTCATTCAATTTGTTATCATCTTTACGAATATTTCTCTTCGTGGTATCCGATATCATTAATGATTTCCAAGATCGAGTTACAAGAAGGGCTAGTGTGGTGCGTAAATATGTGTAACCGATATAAAAGCTACATTGTAGCATTTGATGTCGTGGAGTACATTAAGAAAATCTTAATATAAAAATCATATCTTCCTTCCCGGATGTGGATTTCGTAGAATTTGTCTGGTCAAAAGGATGGAAAAAATGGAAACGAGACGAGGGAGATCTGTGGGAAGCTGTTATAGTAGGATAATTGGATGATTTCGGGGAGTGAGTCCAGTTTTGGACGACAAACGCGCCGGCACAACTTGAGTAATTTACAAAACGCATTATATAGTACTGTCTCACGCGTTTTACTCTTACGCAATGTGTTTCGATGCTTATGTACTAACAAGGGAGGGCACCATCTGGCATCAAAAACGTTCTCTCAGGCTTTTTTTTTCGGCAGCTCGGCCGTTGACACACTAAAGTTTGCTATGTGGGCGGTTTGCCTTTTAACAAAGACATTTCCATCTCAGGGATTTACTTTTTTTGATTTCGTAGAGTTTCAGAGGAAAAAATGGAATTTTATTGAAGCACTGATGGGAGGAGTTTAGCCAATATTGAGACAAATGGCCATGTTTTTGGGACACGAGGAAAAAGAGAAAAATAATTTGGGTAAAAGCAAAACAAAGGGATCCCAATGAATATAAAATGAGTGGAAGGTTGCTCCGACACGAAACACTCTTCGAAGGAAGCGGCAAGTATTCGAGGCAAAGGGAAAAAGAGTGAAACAAGGTCATCGTAAAAATTTATCGTAGGAGAAATACAGATATAGGTTTAAATAAAAAAATTAATTTTGACTGGAGAAACCACTCGAATGATATATTCTACGTTTTTATCGATGGAAAACTGCTCAATAGCTATCGATCAATGGATGTTTTTTTAAAAATTCTTTTTCAAATTGGTGTCCTCTCTTTTTCATTTGGCTGTTTTGAGTGTTGCCCACTCCTCTGTGTTTGGTGTTCATAAAATTTATGCTTCCTGCCCTCGCGTGTATTCGGTTTGTGTATTTGTCACACATACATATCCATAATATACGAAACATGGAAGAACGCAAAGTCTGCACAATACCCTGTTGGACAACTGTAACTTGTGGTCCTTTTAATTTTTATTCTTGTCTAGCTTCAACTGGTTTGAGGCCAAAATAGGAAGTGGCCCGAGAACAATTTACCGAATACTATAATAATGGAGATTGATCGTGCCTTTGATACCCGTATGCTACCAATTAATCCATGAGGGAGAGAAAATTATCTCATCACCATTAAATTGAAAAAAATTTGTTACAATTTCTTCTGGGAGAAAGTAACATAATAATACATTTTCAGTCCTCATATTTAATTGAATTCAAAACGTGGGTTAATAATTAAATTCAGGATGTGAACGGCCTCGTCTTCACAGATCCACTTCTTCGATTGGACATACCGATAATCGTTAATTAATTGAAATGTTTTTTTTTCCCGCTGCCACGACCGCAAGACTTGTGTATTTTTTTCTTCACAATTAATTTCCAATGAGACGCGTGGCATGACAGTCCAAAGTTTCACGACAGGATAAAATGTTCCAGCATTTTTTATCAATAATTGTACTTTATCTGCACCGTGAATAAGTAAATATTTCCCACCGACGGATGGCGAAACGTCTCCCACTAAATACTGAAGAAAATAAAAAAAAATTAGGTGTGATTACTTGACAATGCCATTAGCATTAATGAGACACTTTATAGAGCTCTCAGTGATTTCCCAGCATGTCAGTAACACGCGCTTGTAATAACTGTCTTTAATGGCGGTATGAGTTTGAGATAAATGAGAAATATTTAATATACTGTGGCAGAACTCGTGTCGATGAAAAAATACCTATTACTTTGTTATCACTGGGATACTGGAGGCGAATGGAAGTTTATTGATAAAAACACCTCCACGTAGTTTGAAAGAAAAAAAGAATCAATAATAATTTGGGATAGGCGAGGCGTGCAAGGCCACATGGCATCACGGCCTTGAGATTACTGCGTTTCGAACAGAAAGACTGCCGATAAATTCCACCAAGAATTTATTTCACTTTTCATTATCCTCAAGGAAGGATAAATCCAAGCGCAATTAATGAATATTTTGCATGTGTTAATAGTCAATGGGTGACACGATTTTTACAATTGAGAATGGAATATATTAGTGTTGCCATTGTTCCTTTCATGCATCATGGACCGGCAAATGACCAAAGCCACTCGACACTGTAATCATCTCGAAAAAAATTTGAATGTATACTTATGAAAGACGTGTTGATATGCAAAAAATGTTAGAAACTGGAGACAAGGCAGTCAATACCACGACGATTGTGACTATTCACAATGATTTCAATAGCATGTGATTAAGAGCGCGGGTTCTTATTCGAGAAGAAAAAAAACCTAAATAGTTCAGTTTATCAATTTGCGGTTAATCCTTATCACTTCGGAGAGATCGCTGGGTAAATATGTAAGTCGATGTATGTTCCAGAAAGCACGTGTAATCAAGTCTCTATCATTACACATATCATTATCCAATAATTTCTTCCAGCGAATTCCATAACGTAACATAATCATCACTAGCTGATAAAACAATAACCAACACTTTTTTTTTTTCAAACAACAAAAACTGAGGACGAGGGAGAATAACCACTTGTATGAGGTATTTTTTAATTTGAAACTTTACCTTTTGATTATCCAATAGTTATAAATGCTGTGGGTATTGATGTGCGTATCGTATGGATCAATAACGAAATAGTGAGTAAGAAGAATAATAAAGAATAATAATATGACGGATACTACGTCTTCTCCGTCGGCTGCCGGCGCGCGACTGTCGTTAATTCGCCGCTGCGACCGGCCTAGATATACGCATGCTATTTTTAGTAACAGTCGTCACCTCGATGGAGTTTGATTGGCCGATTGTGACGTGATGGTGGAATCCTGTTGGTTGAATATCGGCTAGTGGGGAATACTGGCTTGGTTGGACTTGCGATGCTGTTTCTCCCCGTTGCTCTCTCGATTCACGGGCAACACACCGATGCCCTCTCGTTGCCACAATCACCATTTGTTGACATCAAACTGTCACTCTTTAAATCCCAGAATTCACTCCCAATCCACCCAATCCTCCTTCACCAGCTCTACACACTAATTCTCATTTTTTAGCGTCTCTTCACATCCGTTAGTGCCACATCAAAAGATCAGACTCAGAGCTATTAACCCAGTGCTTCTAGTGGAATCAAGTATTCAATCCCAAAGTGTCATGATCTAAAATTCATGTCGGTGCATGGTAAACAATAAACATGAATAAATATTATGGGGATTGGATATTCTCCGATGTGCAGTGAGAAATTTGGCTTCAATGTTTATGAAATGTAATGATTATTTATTATCTCTTTTGTCCTTCGGATGATGTAGGTATCCCAGGGTTGTAACACCCGCGCGATACATGCGTGGGCGTCACCTTACGATGAAGTAACCGAATGCTTTGCTTCAATCTATTCTATCTTACGATGCTCTCGATTTCTTTATTTCTCTCCCCGTCGAATGTCTCAGCCATTTTATTTTAATTTACCATGAATTCCAGAATAGCATAATGAATACATTGATGTATACATTGAACTACCAATTCTATTCGGTCTATTATGCAGATATTACCATGCATTAATCTCATGTTTGAGCTTTCAAAGAACCTTGACTATTCTATCGTATATTCATTTTCCCCATAAACATACACCGGATCTCAATATATGAAATCATACCCTGTTTTCCTGACGGCAATTGCACTCTTGCCTGAGCTGCATGCCAAAGTTAGTCATGAGTCGTTTGGATTCGTCAGATTTATGGGATGGGCACTGATCATCATTTTAAAATCACTGCAATAAAAAATAAATAGTGGAAGAAAACTCCCGGCAATTTCACTCATGCTGTTCCACCGACGCGATTATTATCGATCAGATATGTAAAACAATGCGGATAATAATAGACGCACGGGGTTACGTAGTTTATTTCACGAATAGTCTGTCGAGGATTGGGATTTTCCATACAGCATTTTCTCACAATTGAATGCTCGATCCGTGGAAAGCATTCGATTAAAATATTTCTCCACAATTGCGTTCTCCTTCAGTCCAATGTAAATGAAACGAGTTTCAGGGAATTCTCGTTGAGAAAAGAAATTGGAAAATTTTCTCAGCCCCAGGCCACATGTCTGATCTATGACTTTTGGTGGAGGAAAGCGATTTTTTTCTGAAATTCAAATTTTCCTGCAAACAACAGATGCATAAAAAAATCAAAAATACATTCTTTTGAAAGTCAATTTTTTAAACAGCTGGTGATCTGACATATGTTGGCTTTCTAGATGATATTAGAAGGCTCAAGGAGATCAGATAAAAATATGGCAGCGCCCATGACCACAGCATAAGTGATGTTTAAAGACATTTTTAAATATTATAAAAGCAAAAAACCTCCACCGAATTACGAGCATGTGATAGACGTATCAAATGGAGTTTCCGAACAGGTGTGTTCATGTTTGTTCTTTAAAATCTACATTTCTCTATTAAAATTACAAGTGGATTTCAGGTTAGAAAAGTACCTGTGCAGGGTATGATAGAGCCTGACTCCGATGAGAGTAAACTTGGATTGAAGCCAGTGGACTCCTGGGAGATTTTTGAGCTTCCCAAAATTCCAGGTAAATTCTGCAGAGAGCTGAGGTTGTTCTTGTAATTATCTTATGATTTTTTACTCTACTACTGGGATGCAGGCCTAATATTCATCAGGAATCCTTTCACTCCGGCTGGACAACGCTACTGGATCACCAGATGCTTCAAGGATTACTCGAGAAGGCCCAATAAACTTAATATTGATATCCATGGACTTTTGGAAGAAGAAGAGACATGGTGGGACGTTTGTACAAGGTAATTGCTTTCATGAATGTCGAAATGCATACAGGCTACTCATTTTTTATTCATGATAAATATTCAGAGATGATTCGAGAGCTGATCATCTCATCCCTAAACTACGATGGGCAACACTCGGTTATCACCATAATTGGGAGACCAAGCACTATTCCGAAAATGATAAAACGAAAATGCCAATGGACTTGAATGAAATGGCGAGAGTTATAACGAAAATCCTTGGATTCGATGGATACAGGGCAGAAGCTGCTATTATAAATTTTTATAGGATGAATTCTACATTGGCTGGTCATGTGGACCACTCTGAAGACAATCTTGATGCACCTCTTGTCTCTGTGAGTTTTGGACAGAGTGCTATTTTTTTGATTGGGGGTCTTAAGTGCGAGGATCCTGCCCATGCTATTTTTGTACACAGTGGAGATGTCATAGTGATGTCTGGAGAGTCCAGGCTGAGATATCATGGAGTTCCGAGAATTCTCAGGGCCCCGGAAATCCCTTGGGATGATGAGCAAGTAAAGGGCGACCCAATTTTTGTGGCGCAACACGATTGGAGTAAGGCGAGGCATTTTATTTCTGAAGCCAGAATTAATATGAATGTCAGACGGGTTTTAAAATTGGGACAAGAAATATTGAGTGATAATGAAGTGGGTGCAAATATTATTTTATAGATATGGATATTTTTTATTCTATTTGTAAATTATATCGTGGAAGGAATATTTTTAAGAATCACTGATAATCGCAGCAATTTTTTCACATTGATTAATTAAAAATTAATGGAAGCAGTGTATTTTTATATATCCGAATAAATATATTTTTTTGACAGGAATCTTTTGCGAGTGAATGATATGAATTATAATTCGTTGATAAATTATGATTATTCTGAATCAAGATTTAGGGAAGACGTTGGAGACGTTGAGGAAGTCCCAGGCAACACTCGCCATTTTTGTGAAGAAATGTCGAGGGCTGGTCAACGCTTCTTCATTTCTTCCCGTGACTATTGTCACGTATTTTATTTTCTCTTCAACCTCACGTTTCGACGAGTCGTTGAAAGATTTCTTTAGAATTATTTTCTCGGCTTCCTCTATTGCCTTGCACAAGTGAGATTGTCCTGAGAATGACGGAGGTTTCGGGTCCATTTAAACAGATCTGAGATTACTGGAAGGAATTTAAAAAAAATGGTTTTGATTTGCTGTCAATTAAGTGGAATGTAGAAACCTTTTATTAATGTTTATCTGTTGAAAACTCGCTATGTTCATTCTCGCTAGGACGTCTTCGCATGCACTTCTGAGTGCTCCACGTTGCCAGGAAGACTTCCTCTTCGTCTCGTCAGGCTCCGACGAACTCTTCAAATTCTCCTCAGATTCTTTCTTCCACACATAATAACCTCGATTTTCCATTGTTTTTAATCCCGGGAGAATGTGATTTTCCTCAAGAAATTTCATATTTTCTTTCGACATTTTCACTTCAAATTTATTTCAATCGATTCAAATTAATAAAAAATTTCGAATTTCGAAATAATTTAGGAAACTTTTAGGGCCAAAAAAAAATTATATAATTTGGTGCATCCCGATTAGGTTTTGTTGAAAAAAAAAAGATAAACGCAGAATTTCAAATTTCAAATGAGAGACCAAAATGTTCGCGCGCTTTTGGAGAAACCACTGGCACTTCCGATGTTTCGGAGTCAGCTGATCTACTCCATTCCTGTTTGATCCACTCCAAAAGCGAATATGTCGGGGAAAGACAGACTACCAATTTTTCCCTCTCGGGGGTGAGTAACAAATAATATTTCAATTTCTCGCGTGCCTCAGTGAATCCGCAATATCCTGGAGTACTCTCTTATAATTTATTATTCGTAATTACTGCTCTTGCTCCGAAAAAAATAAAGTGATTGAAAAATGGGTGTAACCCCTAACATCAGTGTTTTTCTTCGTTGTGTCAACTCGGTGCTAATTATGGAGAAAATTATTATTTCATTCTATTATTTATATTGAATGGAATTGCTAAACATCAATTCGAATGATTACCTATTAAAATTAATAATTTTTTAAAGTTTTGAAAGGATCAGAAACGTAAGTAATTATTTTATAATTTTCAGAGCCCAAATGTTGATGAAATCTCGTCTTGCCGGAGCAACAAAAGGTCATGGGCTACTAAAAAAGAAGGCTGATGCTCTCCAGATGCGTTTCCGAACAATTTTAGGAAAAATTATTGAGGTAATTACACGAACTCATTACTATAAAAAATTTCTCCTTCTTCCCGATACCAAATTTGATAAAAAAAAACAATTTATGGATTTCAGACAAAAACGCTGATGGGTGAAGTAATGAAGGAGGCTGCCTTTTCCCTGGCAGAAGCTAAATTCGCAACTGGTGATTTTAATCAGGTTGTCCTCCAAAATGTAACCAAAGCGCAGATTAAAATCCGCTCGAAGAAGGATAACGTCGCGGGAGTAAATTTGCCAGTTTTCGAGTCCTATCAGGATGGAACGGATACTTACGAGCTAGCTGGTCTGGCTAGAGGTGGACAACAGCTGGCGAAGCTCAAGAAAAATTATCAAAAGGGTGTGAAACTGCTGGTAGTACTGGCATCTCTTCAGACGAGCTTCGTCACTCTCGATGAAGTTATTAAAATCACGAATCGTCGTGTCAATGCCATTGAACACGTCATCATTCCCAGGATCGAGAGGACACTTGCCTATATTATTTCAGAGCTCGATGAGCTTGAGAGGGAAGAGTTTTATCGACTCAAGAAAATTCAAGACAAGAAAAAGGCGATCAAAGCCAAAGTAAGTAGAAAAAAATGTTTTTGAATGGTTTGTTTTTTTTTTGGATTTGTATTTCTCATATATGGACCCGTTTTTCACCTACTCAGGCTGAAGCTCGTCGACAAGCGATGATCGCATCTGGCAAAGAAGTTGACGCGGCTAGTATGCTCGAGGAAGCAGACGACGACTTGCTGTTTTAATTGAGAATATGTGTAAATATTTACTGCGCACATTTCAGTAACAAAAATTCACTACCATTTGAGAGTCTCTGATTGGGAAGGCATACAGCTCCCGATGCCTCCCCCTTCATACACTCATTTCGAGCCTAATGAAGATGAGTCATGAAAAAATAATAAGAGAAAATAAAAATTCCTGTACAAAGTCGTTACGAAACACTGATTATTGTTCTTCTCCAACATGAAGGAAAATTTGTGGTGCCACAACAGCTCCTTCCAGCATCATCGAGAACTTCTTTAATGTTGTACATGTTCCGGAATGTATATAGCATTAATTAACACTAGAATCCTACATGTTTTTGTTTGAGGAGAAATATGGAAAATACGATGATGGAATAAATTGAGAGAATACGTTAAAATTTTGGAGAAAAACATTGATTTTATCTGTATTTATCTCTATTTCATTTTTAACAAATATTTCAAAGTTATGGAGTATTTTTCAATGAATAAAAAGTATTCTGATGTGTCGTGTAAATCTGAGATTTTATCATCACTCCACGGCTTGCAAATGTAGCATAAGAATGTGTTATAATTAATTAACTTGCTATCAATAAAAATATGAAATCAACATTTTTGATATCTATTAATGTGTTACATGAATTTACTCGGATCGGAGGTAAAAAGAGTGAGAGGGAGAGAGAGAGAGAAAATTATGAGGAAATTATGACATTATGAGACAAAAAGCAGACAGTGTTCATTATTATGTGAAGGAAATTCAGCAAAGTGGGTCAATCAATAATGAAACTAGTAGGGCGCACGCGGCAAACGGCCCTCTAGATCTTGGAAAACCTTCGGGACTCTACTGTTGTCCGTTAAATTTGTTCCGGTGGCTGTCCTCTAATCAAGATCAGTTTCGAACTGACGAAATTGTAGAATTGTAGTATTTCATTCCGCCAAAATGTCCACTCCTCATTTTTCTGCAGTTCCGGTGCCGCATGATCGCTTCAACGAAGTTATTGAACATTTGAGATTCAATTTCTTCGCGGATGAACCGCTCAATTACGGGGTCAGGCTTTGCCAGAAAGGTGAGCCGCACCGCGAGCTGGAGAATCATTGTTTATCGACACTTAAGCAAGGACACTCGAGGATGCTCGTAACCGACGATGGAACGGTAATATTTTTTTTACCCTTTTCCATTCTACTTTTTATGTGGAGTTTATTCCTCTTTTATTTATATTCAGCGGTATTTTTCGATTGGACTATTTTATTTGCATCGTCTTCGGGGCAGATAAAAAAAAAAGTCTTCCTATTTAGATAGCAGGACTAGCTTTGAATGGCACAACAAAATCCGGTGAACGAGAGGAGGCAGTGCGCCGCTTAGCTGACCTCGATGATCAGAAATTCAAAACAATTTTTGGCCTACTTTATCAAGTGAACGATAAGGTGGACTTGTTCAAGAAATACAATACCGATGAGCTCTTTGAGTGTCGGATTTTGAGTATCGATGAAGAGTTCCGAGGACGTGGACTGGCAAACATCCTCATGAGCGATTCGGTGGAAGTTGCACGTAAAATGGGCTTCAAGGTACCGTGAGGTGCCCCACATTTGTGCATGTGAAGCATGTCCACTATCACAATTTAAATAAAATTCACCAACGATGAAAAATGAAGATGCAATTTTTTTACTTTTGTTTCAGCATGTGCGTTTTTTGTAAGCAAAGGTATTTCCAGTGTTTTCTGTTTCTTCACCAAGTAGTTTCTATAGATTTTTTCTCTACGTATTTGTACATATTTATACTCGTGAAGGAGAAGTAAATGGAATTATTAAATACTTGTGTCTAGGTGATGAAAGCCGACGCCACGAGCGTATATTCCCAGAAAGTATTCGAGAAACATGGATTCAACACCGAAGCAGAAATTCCATATTCCGAAATGGATGAGAATATAAGACCCCCGTCACCACATCGTGCCCTCAAATTAATGGTCAAAGTACTGAACTAAATGCACAGGCACAATCGCATTGAAATCAAAGAATGATGTAGTAATGAAAAATAAGTGTCTCATCGTTGAAAGTGTGACAATAACACTATAATAATCTATTGATAATTCATATTGCCATGTCTCGATTAGTCGGTTACTGCCCTAGAGAGAAAAAGGAATTAATCCTTACGAAGTTGTTCTGGTGTTAATAAAAACGGAGAATATGATTGTCGTACGAAAATTACCGGATTCGGCGGGTTCGAAGTTGATCAAAATGAACGGACAGGAGAATATCAAGGAAATTTGAGTCTAGAAATTTAACCGCTACCGTCCAAGGGTGGCAACGATTTTTTCACAAGTTCGTATTTAAAAAAACCAACAGATTACAACACGGAATATACCAGAAAGGGTCCATTTACAAGAAAGAAAAAGAATTTTAAAACCATACCAACTTATACACGATATTGCAGTATTTTTGTTGTCATCTAATGTTGTAAAACTTATTTTGTAAATCCATGAATAAATAGCCGAGTTTATTAAGCCTGTTGTAATTTTATTTAAAAATAAATTGAAAACAATATTTACTTTTGTCCTCTTAGAAGTTGACTTGTTGCCGGAAATACCTCTGGAATTTATTGGCCTTAAATTGCATTTTTGTAGAGTATTTCGCTTGGACTCTCTGCATATAGCTGATATCTCTGGCTTTCCTGACAACTGCTTCCTTTTGGGTTTCAGTCCATCCGAGTGCTCGATAGTGACACAAGACTCTCCTCAGCTTCTCATTCTTGGGGATAGCAACAGCTCGATTGGGATCGAAACTTTGTTTGTAGTACCTCATGAGCGATCTGTGGCCAATAATATTTCCTGATGGTAGCACCAGCTGATAATCTCCATCATCCAACTCGGGGATCTCCACCTCTGCGTCAGCCTCGTGTTCCTCGGCGTCTGGATATGATGAAGAGTAATCATAGAAATCGGAATACTCGACCAGAGCCTCGCCCTCGTGCAGCATTTTGCAGTGGCCCTTGTCCACCATGTGGGCACGAGCTGCGTCAGCGCTGTGAAAGACCTTCCCCTTGTCGTCGCACCAGAGACACATGAATCCAGCAAAGACCTTCTGACCGAGGTACTCCAGGAGTCCCTTCAAGTCCACACAGTACTCCGGATCGGGGATAAAAAAGGAGTGAGCCTCTGTCATATGCTTGAGGTTCTTCACTACAGATTTGCTGTGATGATAGCAAAAGAGGCAGTTGTTGTTCCTCAATGGATTTTCGACGTCCTCCAGCCACTCGTCAGAGTCCAGTGATTCAACATCCAATTCAATATCCATTTCATCAGAAGTTTCTCTCGATGAATCTTTTTTACTCTGCCGATTGACCATGACGAATGATGAAGTCGTGGAGTCTTCTCCAGTAGATGCCTCTGAAATTTTCTGGACATTCTTGCTGTGCTTTTTCGACAAGATGTGATTTTCATATTGATTCTTGGTATTAAAAATTTTTCTACAACTCCTGCAGATAAAAGTTTCGTCGGGATTTTTTAAGGCATCGTCATCACCTCGTTGAGCAATTACTCGTTTTTGGAATTCTTCAACTGGAACTGGAGGCAACTCTGCCACTTTGCGTTTTAAATTGTAGCGGTGCCAATCGGATTTGTAATGCTGACGTTGAATATCTAGATCTCTGAAAGCTACACGACATGTGATGCAAGTGTACGGGGATTGAACATCTCTGGTTCCTTCCATTATTTTTTTCTAGATTATCAGCCTGGAATAATCATACAAATTCTATTTTCCTCTAAAAATAATATAGAAATGGGAAACACTGTGAATCCATTAGTGGAAAATATAATTACCTGTTCTTGGAATGCCTTTGGAGCTTTCGATTTGAAAAAAATCACGTGTATTCCAGCCCCAACCTATTGGAGGTTAGAGAGAGACAGGTGACCTTGAAATTTTGTATATTTCTACACTCCCGGAATTACAAAAGCTCTCGTCGTTATCCAAACATTAATCCAATCTGTCTTCACAGAAACCTTATGTTACAGTTCAACATACAATTATTGAATGATTACACAGGAAAAACTACATATGTATAAGATAGCAAGCAAAATTTCGATGTATCGAATGGCCCAGGGCCGTATCGGCTTGCAACAATTTTTCACTCGGGTTCAATATCAAGTTTACTCAGAAAGGAAAAAGATTTCTTGTAGATAATCGAATGGAAAAGTACTCGTCATTCTAAAAATATATAGGAATCTTTAGAATTTTTAATTGTATGATCTATGGAGTGGAGATCGGTGCAGCTTTGACAATGATATTTCTCTGGAGATAATAAATTTTTTGGGAGCTGGTGGGGCGATAACTCTGATCGGCCATTATGGTTTCCAATGTTCGCAGTTGCATTCAGGCAGTAGCCGTCTCATAAGCCGGAACGATTTGCTGTGAATTTCCACAAAAACCACGTTTACCTAACGAATAATTTCCCAATCACTTTTAACCAACGTGTAACTACACGACGAGACCAAAAATCAGGTATGTGTCCCATGAATATATTGCTAGACTCTTGAGAATAATTAAGTGATTAGAGAGATGAAATAATTACAGTTGGTAAGGATCGAGAGGCAAAATCGGTGCTCACGAAAGGGCCATCCATCTGTCCCAATTTTTCGGTACCCAGTGCGGGTCACGACTGAATTTTCACGCTAAAAGGCGGCCGTCCAGCAGGGCGTTACCATTTTATATGACTTTTCTTCGACGTCAAGGTAAGCTAATCATGTTTTCTACTCGTATTATTATTATTATTATTTTGTTAAATACACAATGGAGATATGGTTATTCTCAACCAGCTGGCCGATCATATTCACGCCCTTCCCCTTTTCCTTTTAACCCCACCATTTGGTATACTAATTTTAGCGAAGAAACCCAACAGCCATTTTGGAGACACTGTGAACCATTGGCAAACCTAGTTTATTGCTCCAATTTTATTTTCCCATTTGTTCCCCTTTCTTTTCATCTCCACGGTTAGCAGCGGGTGATAATGTTACGCCAGTCCTCGTATTTGTCCTTGCGATAACTTTCTTCTCCCATGCACTTCGTGTTTCGCTTCTCGTTTCAATCAATGGAATGCTCTACTATCCGATGACAAACGGAAATAGGCAATCATTATTCGAGATCCTTTATTTACCACAAATAATAATACTGTGCTTTATCTAATCTAATCGACGTTTCGAGTGGCGGGAGATTCATGGCAAAGACAATTGATGGCTCTGATGATGTGAATATTATTTTTATTTTTGATTTTCATATTTTGTTACCTATTCTGGACTTTGGTAACGGTCAGGGGGGATGGAAATTAACACTTTATACGAAAAAAACAATGCCCCTTATCGCTTGGAATTGCGAATTTCCGTAGCGATGTAATGAGAAAATTTCCATTGATAGGCCACGGGATGAAGATATGCAGTAAAAGGACGACCCCAAACCACTCGTCTAATTCCATTCCAACAATTGCGGAGCAAGCACCAGTTTATGAAAAATAATAGTTATCTCTGGATTCTCCCAAGAACATTCCACTCTGACCCTTTTGCCGTGTTGACAACGCGATGATACCAATAACTGATAACTATATACTTGCAAATATATATTGAGGGGTTCTCATCGAGACTCCAGCGTCTTGTTTCACTCGAAAATGAAAAATAAGGAAAAGAAACAGGGCACTGGGTGAAGAGAGTTGATTCTTGCGGTTGGCAGTTTTAAATATATCAATAGAAAAGAGAGGACTCTCCATCGATCGCCACTCGAAATATAAAGCGCTGACCTACCGCAAAAAAAAATCAAGTGGGAAAAATCCTGCATTAATGCCCCCGACCTCCGTTGATCCTGATGGTGCAGGGGTTGGGAAATGCAGTGCTGGTGTAATATCTGCGCAAGACCGATCAATAAAATCATGAAAGGGCGAGAGCTATACGGCAAACTGCGTACAATGAGAGGGTAGTACATTGCGCAAGTGCTAGACATTCACGACTGCGCCTCACATTTACCCAAAATTTTACTTCTTTTTTTTTTCTTATTTATATACGAGTTACGGCATTCGACACAGCGACAACGACACACAGGTCCAGAGCACTGATTGTGAAACAGATTGAACAGAAAATCACTGGTGCACAGTTTGATTATCAGCGGGGTGGAGTGAAGTTTTTGGATTGTTCTCTTGAGATTGTTGGAGATTTTTTTTTAAACCTGAAGGGTTTTATTGAGGTGCGTCGGAGGGGGTGGATAAAAGGGAGAAAGTGGGACCGGCTGGTCCTGGATAAAGTATTTATCAGCGGATATACACGTCAACATACGAAATCACGACTTATGCGTCTACGTCGAGCAGGTAAAATACCGAGATGTTCATCTCCGGGGCGATTATCTCCACGGGTTTATTATTATTTCGATTTCTCTTTGAGGGGGCCAGTACTCATCGCATAAAAAAAGTAAGGGTATTATTACTCATGTGATCAATAAGAAGGTATCCACGAGGCCGTCTAGCTACTAGTTACCATATCCATCTTTTCTGTTTGATCATTATTTTCCCACCAGAGGGGCTCTTCATTATAATTTATTCACCTGGGGTGTAGGTACAAATCAGCAGTGTCGTAGAAACGTGGCAATCGGTGCAAGATAGCTTTATCGATTGCAGGTGTATAGAAATCCATTTGTTATATGTGAATCAGTAGTTGTGGCGAGCATATGGTTATCGAGAAACGTTCCTATTGCATTTCATTTGGTCTCCACAATATGGCCAATATTTATCCGCGAAATACGTACGTGAACACGATCAATGTGTATGTAGAAATTGATAAGAATAAAATTACTTCTGGCTTTGCAGCGATAATATAATTTATATAGATCGTATTCACAAGCGATTTTGAAATTCAATAGAAAATTCATTGATCAATGATTTTAAAGGATAAAATAAATTAATGGGGGGAGTGCGATGTCCTCAACTGAAAAAGCTGGACACAATATGCAAAGAGCACCTATCGGTCACGGTTTGGATTCGTGTCGATGGTATACGTAACAGGAAATTCACTTCATATGTAGGGAGTTTGTATGAATGTTAAAGTACGAACTCCGTGTTGGTAATTTATTATAATTCACATATGTATTGAATGGGTTTATTGAATGGAATCTTTAATTTTCCAATAATTGAAGAACAGATGAAGATATCGAAAATCTAGCTGTCATTTTTTATTTATTTGGCAAATATAGAAATGACAGTTTATATTGAGATGTGACTGGAGCTGGTTAAGGCAAGAGCGGAGTTGACCAATTGCTATGATGATCCTAGTGTCTTATAATCCTCTCGAGAGCGAAATTCGAAATTCGTGTTGCATTTCGCAGAAATGCGGGACTGAGGCAACAATTCCCGGAAAACGTTGAGGAGGAATTGAGCCACTGTGAATGAAAAATAGATGAACAAACAGGAGATACTCGATTATAATGGAATATATGAATTTTTATTCGAAATTGCAGAAACATCCAGGGTATCATCCAGAGGGAAAGGATCGGTTATCATCAGAAGCGGCGGTGGCAGGAGCTTGTCCAGGCATCGTAGATCCAAAGTCAGCATCATAACATCAACAAGTTTAAATTCAAATAGTTTGCGTTCACCCGGGTCGAGTCTATCGACGTGGTGTTCAGATATTTTTGAGGTGACGAGATACGGATCAGCAGCGTGTATGATCATTGAAGACAATCCCCCTCTGCCCACCAGACCGAGGCATAATCCTTACCAAGATACCACCCAACGTTTCCTGAATCACCTGATCCTGCCCAAGCATAGGACCTCAAAATTTTCCAGGTATGTTTCAATTTTTATCGTTACATGGGCTAGGGCAAATTTTGCCAACGAATGCCAAGGAGTTAAATGATTATTAATATTTCTCAGTAACAGACATCGAAAGCTTCAGCCATTCAGAGAAACGTGACTGTCATCATTAGACGTTGCGGCGGACGACACCGCAAACGAATTGAACCACCCTGTCTCGACACGTATTAAATTGCCACTTGGTAGCATCAGTAACCATCGATCGTTATCCACAGGCGATCAAACTGACGCTGAAAAACGTGAACGAGCATTGCGCACGCAGGTCAAGAACTAAGACGTTGTTACCAACTTGAATTCCACAGGATCAACCCCAAAAAATTCAAAATTTTTATCATTAAATCAATAGAACAATAGTTAAAGTATTAAAATCGAGAGGCCAAGGTGGCCTTGTTGATAATCCAGCAAAAACGTCACTAAAAATCGAAAAATTGAAAAATCATACTATCAAAACACACAAGTCAGTTATTAAATTCAAGCAAAAATGGGAAGCCTAAACGTGAATCGCAACGTGAGTGATGCATTCTATCGTTATAAGATGCCTCGTATACAGGCTAAAGTTGAGGGTAAAGGAAATGGAATAAAAACAGTTATTGTCAACATGGTGGACGTGGCAAAGGCTATTGGCAGGCCCGCAACCTATCCGACCAAATTTTTTGGATGTGAATTGGGCGCACAAACGCTATTCGATTTCAAGAATGAACGTTTCATTGTCAATGGATCACATGAGGCAACTAAACTACAGGATTTGTTGGATGGTTTCATAAGAAAGTACGTTTTGTGTCCAGCGTGTGATAATCCAGAGACTGAGCTGCTGGTCAGTGCTAAGAAGGGAACCATCTCTCAGGGCTGCAAGGCATGTGGCCATCATGGATTATTGGAGAGTAATCATAAGCTCAATACCTACATCTTGAAGGTGAGCCCCCTGTTTTTTTTTTCTATTTTTTTATTATTAGGTGAATATTAGATCAGTCAAGGAATATTTTGCATTGTTTTGACAATTGCAGAATCCTCCAAGCCTGAATCCCGCAGCCCAGGGCAGCTCCTTGACAGAAGGTAAACGAGGTAAAAGATCGAAGAAGGCAAATGGCGATGCCAATGGAGATCGCTCTGGCTCTCCTGACAATGACACAAGTACAACCGATATCGTCGTTGAGGCACCCGAAATCATCGCCAAAGACGATGATGATGCTCAATGGGCTGTCGACGTATCTGAGGAAGCTGTTCGGGCACGTCTTCAGGATCTCACCGATGGAGCTAAGGGTATGACAATTAGCGAGGATCTGGATAAAACTGAGAAGGAGCGAATGGATATTTTTTACAAGTTGGTCAAGTGTCGTAGAGACGCTGGCCAGCTTGACAATCACAAGGAAATATTTGCTGAAGCTGAACGCCTGGAAATAAAAACCAAGGCACCCCTCGTTCTTGCTGAACTACTTTTTGATCAGGGCATTGCTGGTCAGGTCAGAAAACACCGAGTTTTGCTGATACGTTTCACGCTCGATGATATCAAGGCACAGAAATATTTGATAAGGGGAATCGAACAGGTAATTGCCCTCCATAAGGATGCGCTCATGCCCAAGGTGCCCGGTATTTTCAAGGTAAGGGAATAATATTAATATTTTTGTAATGATGTTTTAATTAATGATCGGGGGTGATTCGGCAGCTCTTCTATGACACTGATATTCTGGAGGAAAAGGCGTTGTTTGAGTGGGCGAGTAAAGTGAGCAAAAAGTACGTATCAAAGGATATTTCCCAGGAGATTCATGACCGAGCTGCTCCATTTATTACGTGGCTCAAAGAGGCAGAGGAGGAGGAGTCTGATTCCGAGGACGAGGATGATGATCTAGAGATTGAATACGACGACAGAGCTAAGCAGCCATTGAAACAGCAGACGCAGAAGCAACCCCAAACCCCGAAAAAACCTATTGAGGATGACTCCGACGAGGGCGATGACTTTGACATTGACGCCATTTAAAATGAATCAAGGCTTACTCAAATCATTATGTCGACCAGGCTGTTTATCTCTTTCACTCCAAGAAATATGATAGGAAAATAATGAGGAATTATTCAATTTGAAAATATATTAAAACCACAATTACACAAATTTCCTTATCTCTGACCAACAAAACTCCGCCAAGAGGATCTTTTAGCCCTAATCAACGTTTACACGCCTTATTTTTATGATGGATGTTTTAATTGTTTTCTTTATTATTTCTATTGAATAATTATCTACGATTATCTTGCATTGGAGTTCCCAAAGTTCGTATCTGTCCCGTCCTCGCACATGCAGCCCTTTTTCACTCGATTATTACTAAAAATTCGTATTTTTAAACATATGTTTTTATTGAAAAATGATTTTCGGTATTCATTGGGAAAGTTTATTTGATAACCGTTTCGCCGATATACCAATGTACTATCCTTATGTATGAATAAATATGATTTCTCGCTATTTCATCTTTTCTATTTCTATTATCTTTCCATTATCTTCCAAATCTTTATCAAGATATCATGCAAACAACCTCATTGTTTTATTGTTCAACCACACTTGGCGCTAGTGTCTCCCAAGTGTTCTCAGTTGTGTTTGTACGATCGGTTCACCGTCATCCTCCATCTCGAAATTATCAGTTATTTTCACGTTACTCGCATTTTTAATCGCGTGTGCATCCTCCAATTGCATTTCAGGGTGCAACGCCTCCAGGTAAATAATAATAAACTCTGGAAACGTGAAATATTATCTGAAAATAGATCGTTCGAATTCATATTATCATTCGCCTTCATAGCCTCGCCATCTTACTCTCTGTCACTCGTCTAATATTCATGTCGACAAATGCTCTTTTGCAAAAAACTCCCTCATCATAGTCTATCCCCTTGATTCTGGAATTATTTTTCCCGTTAATAACAATACCTAATTATCATTTATTCCATGGACCATTGTTATTTCACGAATAAATTCTGCAGCCACTCGTGGCGAATTTGTACTCCCACCGAAACTCGTGGAAATTTCGTTCGGTCAATAGAGAATGGAAAGTGAGAAAATTCTGAAAGCCCTTTGTTTTAATTTTCAGCAGTGGAATGGTACGCTGAATACTAGAGAATTCCTGCTTGGACAGTTTCCAAAAGTGAGTGATTTTTTTTATTTTTATTTCTCTGGGAATTGTGATTCACAAATTTTCCCTGAGAAGTGATTCGATTTTGGGGGATTAGGAGAGCAGTTTTTTCTACATCTGTTATTCACCACACCTTTTCGGTGGACAGGTGTAACCGGAAGTTAATTCTTTTAATCTACTTCCCTGGAGTATCGCGAGTACACCATGACGAAAAAATCATCGGCCATGACCATCTTAGTGCTGGTGGTTAAAAAAAATTAAGAAATGTTGACTTTTGGAATTAAAGTAAATTCACTCACGTATTGTAGTGGCTGTCTGGAATGATAAACTGTTGTAATTATCGTACTTTTGATACCCACAACAGTCGCGGAATTTTATGAGTGTAATTTCACTCGAGACATGAGAAATTAAAGAGAAAGAGTGATAGTCAAGTCGAATGGACTCGGAATTTACTTGAAAATCTCAGTGATCCTGATTCAATAGCATTCTATAGCTTCGCTTGAATTAGTCCTGATGCAACGTGTCGTCATAAGTATGATTCATCGTTTTCGATCAGGAGATTGTAGACAGTACGGTATAAACGCGGAGAATCCCTCAATCATGTTTAGTTTGTACGGTCTGTTCGATTCATGGATTATTTTTCACCCGTTCAATTAAAATTTCAAGAAACATATTGCCTTTCTCGAACTTTCTAATCAATGATACATCTTTCTCCTTCAGAAACTATCTTGAAATTTATTGGATTCGATCAGAGCACCAGCTCTTACTGAATTTATTCATTTATATTTGAATAATTGAGTTGAGAAATTCGATTAGAGTGATAATGAGAATAAGAAAGGGACTTGCGATTGAATATAAAAAGTATGTAGTGTAGAAAAATGTTCTCTCAATTTATTTCTATCTTTCATGAAGTGCAATTGGATGCACTGAAATTATCGCAGGGGATAACACCCTTAAAAGCGCATGCGTAAGCTCTTTTTATCCTCTAGCTCTAGCTCCTCTATACAAGGGGGTGACTCCAAGCTCAAGCGCAACTCGATTCAGTGAAGAATAAAACCCCACCATCGCCGCAACTTTAACCCCTTTGTAGATTAAATATAAAAATTCAGTTATAGAGTGATATATTTTTCTACGAAATTGTTACTTCACTCGTTGAATTTTTTTTACGGCTGAATCGAGGGGTTTGTGATATTTAGGGATAAGAGGAAGAGTGAGTGATGAAATAGAGGACTGTCTGTGGATAACGTGGAGTGCTTGGACGTGCATGAAATTGGATCGATATCTTTGGGCTTTTTCATGTGTTCTGTATGGGATTGGTAGATCCTGACTTTACCGATGGGTAAAACTGATATGTCAAAGACAATTAACGCTTACAGGATGTAAGTTGAACGATTATTTTTTTTTTAAATAATCCAATTTACAAAATATCGCTATTACTATTCCTTCGCGCGCTATTCTGCGATATTGACGCAATTTTTATTTCCAACATTCAGACAAGTCTCTGACGATTGAAAAAAAAAATGCAAATAAACAAAACGTGTTTTACTCCAGTTTCAATTACTCCAGAATTATTGACATGCGTTGATGGAGCGCTGAATCATATAAATGATTCTAGGGGAATTGTGGAGCACAGAAATAATATCGGAATGCTATTCTACTTGTCAAAAATTGTTCAATGGTGTCAGAGGTCGTGGCCTTGGAATTGAAACAAAGTTGTCATATCAAGGACTGCCAGGTCCAATGTAATTCATTATAAGTGTTGTCCTTGAAAATGAAGGGGATACCTCATTATCTTATTTTTGCCGGTTGGTAAAAATCTCAAGGAGGAATGAAAGATCGGTTTTGAAATTGTCGGTTTTAGTAGTATAGCCATCGTGAGAGTGCCGCATAGACATAACGAGGAAATTTTTCTCCTGCGCAATCGCCGGACTATTGATACATTTTATATTAGTGTAAGCTCCGCGCAGCCCTTGAGATGGGGTAAGTTCAAAGTCTCTGATAAATTAATTCAATTAATATGATTTTTGTGATTCTACGATTGTGATGGAGCGGACGGTACCTTGAGAGGACCTTTGAACCTTTTTGTTTTGGATTATTCAAGTTTCAGTTGAGCGTGTAGAGGATTTTTTTTCCTTCCGGTTGGGGAAGGTCGACCAGAGCTGAGAGGCATTGAACGATGACGGACATTACAACTGCGCAGTCTTGTATATACACGAAATGATAGTAGAAGACAGTTTTTAAGTTTATTGGAGCTTTACCGTAGTTTCTCGGTGATAAGTATGTGATTATTAATTTCTAGCAAGAAAATCGAACACATTGGTAGAATGACGGCCATGACGCAGGAGGAGATTGTGGCCGGGGCTCGCACAGTGGCCCAGGGTCTTGAAGCACTTCGTGTAGAGCACACAGGGCTTCTCCAGGGCCTGCAGTCCCAGGAAGCTCCAGAAGCTAGGGACAAAGTTAGTTTACTGTGTAAAAACATTGAGATGATCGAGCTGGGGCTTGGTGAAGCACACGTCATGATGGCGCTCGCTAATCAGCTGCAGATGGTTGAGGCTGAGAAGCAAAAGCTCAGGACACAGGTCAGGAGGCTCTGTCAGGAGAATGCCTGGTTGAGGGATGAACTCGCTGGAACACAGCAGAAGCTCCAAGCTAGTGAACAAGCTGTAATTTTGACAATTTCATTAATCTATGTCCCTCTATGGCTTGTCTTGGATACTTATTGTAAAATTTATTTTTATTAGGTGGCCCAATTGGAGGAGGACAAGCAACACCTAGACTTTATGAATGAAATGCGTCAGTACGATCCGGATCCTCCAGCTGATGATGAGAATGCTAAAGATAGGCCGAAAGATGATCCTGTTGTTGACCTCTTCCCCGATGACGAGGCCGACGATCGAAATAGTAAGTGTATGTTGACATTCCGCTCTTCTACATCTTATATCTGTTATACATTTACTATTTGGTGAACTTTCATTACTGATGTCTTGAAAAAATTTACAGCAATGTCTCCAACGCCACCCTCTCAATTCGCACAGCAGGTCAACGCAGGTTACGAGATTCCCGCTCGTTTGAGAACTCTTCACAATCTCGTTATTCAGTATGCAAGTCAAGGACGTTATGAGGTAGCTGTTCCTCTTTGCAAACAAGCACTCGAAGATCTCGAGAAGACGTCGGGTCATGATCATCCGGATGTTGCCACCATGCTCAACATTTTAGCACTCGTTTATCGTGACCAAAATAAATACAAAGAAGCTGCCAATCTGTTGAACGATGCTCTCGCTATTCGTGAAAAAACACTTGGGGAGAATCACCCAGCGGTTGCGGCAACGTTGAACAATCTCGCTGTGCTTTATGGGAAACGAGGAAAGTATAAGGAAGCTGAGCCTCTTTGTAAAAGAGCTCTTGAAATCCGAGAGAAGGTGCTCGGCAAGGATCATCCTGATGTTGCTAAGCAATTGAATAATTTGGCATTGTTGTGCCAGAATCAGGGAAAATATGAAGAGGTGCAGAAATATTATCAGAGGGCTTTGGAAATTTATGAAGCTAAGCTCGGACCCGACGATCCAAATGTCGCCAAGACCAAAAATAATCTCGCCTCGTGTTATCTCAAACAGGGAAAATATAAGGATGCTGAAGTTCTTTATAAACAGGTTCTCACAAGGGCACATGAAAGAGAGTTCGGGGCTATCGACGGAGACAACAAACCCATCTGGCAGGTGTGGATTCATAATTTTTAAATTCAAACGTGTAATAAAGATAATTGCTTGGATTTTTTATATGTCCTTTATTAAATTGACAGGTTGCTGAAGAACGGGAAGCAAACAAGCACAGAAACAAAGAGAATGCTCCTTATGGGGAATACGGGGGATGGCACAAAGCTGCTAAAGTCGATTCTCCAACCGTTACCACCACCCTGAAGAATCTCGGGGCCCTTTACAGAAGACAGGGCAAGTACGAGGCTGCTGAAACACTTGAAGACTGTGCGTTGAGATCACGAACAGAGGTAAGTGGAAATAAGCACCTCAAATATTATCATAACTCATCCATATGCTTCTTAGCAATTCAATTAATATTCACATATATTAATTAAAAAAGAAAACCTTTTCAACATTTGCAAAAATTTATTCCTTGCACGCAGCACTTCCAGGTGAGTAGCAGCTTACAGTAACAAAAGCATTCATTCTTATCACTTGAATATTTAGTAATAAATAGAGGAAATTGAATAAAAAAAATTTAATTGATTTTTTTTAGGCACTGGATCTTGTAAAACAGGCAAAAGTCGCACAAATCCTTGGTGATGAGAAAGGCACAACCAGGCGTGGTTCACGATCAAGTCTGGCAAATAGTGAGCACGAGCAGCATGACGAGGTGAGTTCCCTTATTTAACAAATCAATATTTCTGTCGTACCTTCTTTTCACAATTACGAAAGGGTAATGAATGAAAAAAAAAATGGAACCTATTGATTACCAGAATATAATTTAAGAAGAAGAGATTAGTAGCACCGCATGCATTTAGTAGTACACCATATTTATTAGTCGTCTACTATCCTATTTTCTCTTCTTGTTTCTTTATTGTTTTTGTTTCTATGATTTTTTTTGTACGATTTGCTTCCTCCCCCTGGCCCGGGTTTTTCTCCACGACGAAAAAAAATGCGCAACACACAATTGAACCAAAATGTAAAATATTAATGCAGGGATCCATTCCGTTGGTACAGAGGACACTACATGATGGACAATCCAGCCACAATGAAGCTAGTCCCAACAAACCCGGTTTGAAAAATAAATTCTTCCACGTACTCGGTATTCACTCGTCAACGTAGGATCGTTAGGTTTTATTCAAGTTATTTTTTAATCTCGTTATTATTAATCATAACTTTATGAAAGTATTTTATACAATTTTCTATGCTTTGGACTGACAAAAATAGGCAATTTTCTCGACGAAGCTGGTGATTTGGTCAAATTTTTCATTAATAAGTTGGAGGGACAATGGTGCTATCCAAATTGATCTGACTTTTGCAGACTCTAATTGCCTTGCGAATGAATATTCTCCAAGCAGGTGCTTATTAGCCAAGCATTTAAGAGAGAATCATTCAGATGGGCGTTGTTAATGTTAGAAAGGAGAAGAATGTGAATATTAGATTCTAATTTTTTTTTTTTTTTTTCGAGTAGTGTTGGGAAGAAATCCGCATATTTGGCTAAGCACTACGATTCACGAATTCTTCCTTCGAATTTGATAAACAGCCTAAAAAAATTGTTACCGGAAAAATTGCAATTTACGCAGGCAGATGTACATGTTTCTTTGCTCTGCGATCGCTCTAAAAGTTGTTCGAATAATCTGATATTGGTTCCACTTCATTATTCAGGGGAAATTTTATTTATCATTGTGATTGCATTTTAGCATTAAAGATCACTTCCATTATATCCACGGGGTTCACCATGTTATTTTAGAATTATTAGCTCCCTAAATTGAAGTGGAATACAATTGCTGAAATTTCCTTTTTTTTTTATCGTCAAAGTGACTTCCAAAAATAATACACTTGAGATTACGTAGTGCCTTGATACTTTAATGGAAAAATATTATACATGAAAAATAAATTATTTTACAATAAAAGAAAAGAAAGCATAAATGACTCATGAAATTAACACAATGGTAATAATGGTACACAACTCGCTCTATCTGAGAAAATCCACAAACATTTTTTAAAAATCATAATTTCACACTTTCTGTATTTGTGCGTTGTCGTATTTTTTTTTCTTTCTTTTTGTTCGCTTTGATTATGAGTATACCGCGGCCCGGGGGCTTTAGGGTGATAAGGAGGAATCCCAGAGAAGGAACAGCAAGTCCACTCAATGACTGGGGGTCACCCAATTCATGGAAATCGCAATAAAAGTTCGAACTTATCAGGTGCGTACACCGTAGCATTAGAGAAGTATGTAATCTCCCGTTTACTCGTTTGATTTTATTTTATAAAATTCTTAAGAACATCCCTACTTTTTCCTCGTAGTGCACTACTAGTGGATATCACCTTTATGTGTCTTAACTAATTATATTTGCTAATGCGCGATACTCATGTTTTTATACGTGTTCGTTCTGCTTGAATGGATTTGTTCCGAGTGTTCAGTGTTAGAATTTTTTTTTTTGGAATTTAAATAGTAAAAATAATTGAATGCTTTTTCGTGTCGTTCAGTGGGAATATTGACGTGTTCAGTAGATGGTATTTTTTTTTCAAGTGTTTTACTGTTCGAATTGGATGCCATCAGATCAATCAATTTATTGTACCTTGAAGAGGAGAGGGGGGGAGATGAGATGAAGATGAATTTGAGTATTTTAGCTCCAGCAGAAAAGTTTGCTTCGTGCTAAATTATTGCAAAAAGTGTAAGGTACAATTGATTTGGAGGCACGAGTGTTTTGAAGTAATAAAGTTGATATTATGTAAATGAAAATACATTTTGGTAGAAGTGCGGAATTTCTTATGTTGCAGGCTCTAAAGATTCCATTTCGTGCGCAGTAAATTGCAGTGAGCGTCAGTCGAAGGAATAAAATGGCTATGAGAAAAATATTTCATTAATGTTTAGTGAGATTGCCAGCAGGAGAATTGGAAAAGTTTTGTGGGCGCCTGGATTTTTTTATATTCAAAGACAGAGAAAAAAAAATAGCTTCGATGCCTGGAACTGTTAATTTACGGTAAATAAACATTCCAGCCTCCGCTTTCAACGAAAATTATTCAGAAAATGTTAATGCATTGGATCCATCCGCATCGAGATATTCCCGGCTTTGTGAAACATCCTGAGACTAGGAATAGGCCAGTTGATCAACTCTGACTGATTGAATTCATTGAATCAAAAACAATTTATCGCACGTAACTATTCAATTCATCTAATCATGTCAAACCCACGATTGTGAATTGAACTAGCGGATGAAGTTCATCGATTCGGCCGAAATAATAATCAGTTCATATCATCCGAACTATTTTATTACTAGAATTATTGATAATTTTCAATACTATTTAATTAATTATTAATAATTTATTTACCGTGAAAAGTAACAATGGAGGAAGACGAATAGCAGAAAGGAAGAGAAAACGTCTCGAAATGAGGTATTAAATCGTGAAAATCTGAAATTCACATTATGAATTTTTGACCTCACACGTGATTTATAACTGATTAATTCTTATTTTATCAATTAATTATTTGGCAATTGTTTCTTAAAATAAATGTATCCTTTTTGGATTAACGTGTTGGTTTCCGATAATCTCAGAAGCTACACGTTGAACTGCGTACATAAGTGCAAATACAAACAAGAAAAAATTTTCTGTCTTTTCGACATAAAGACATGAAAGTTTTGGCATGAATTTGAATTTTTTTATATTATCTTCAATACTTTGAATCGTAGTCTCAGTCGACAGTGCAATGTAAAGATGAGAATCACAAAGGAAATATATTTTATGGAAAGGTGATAATGGCCGGTGGCTTATATAAACCCTTTCAGTTTGTATTTATATTGACATTTTTATGTCTTTTTTAACGTGTGGAACGAACGAAAAAAAAAATTGTCACATTTCCACAAAAAAAAAATTAAAACCCCTTTTTTTAGTTTCACTTGATTACACTTTTGTCACTGAAAACTCAAAGGTCGACGTATTGACATTTGGACATTCATATAAACATGTATTGCAAGCGCCCCTGAGCGCTTGAAGGCCTATCGTACAGCATTCATCATTTTTCCGGAATAAATCAACCTAAAGCAATGAATTTCATTAACAATCCACGGATTATGTATCGCAGGAGAATAAAATGCTTTACCGTCCTATTAGTTCAACACACGCAAGTAATGTCAGCAGTTTTTCCTATTTTTCAATCAAGTATAGTATGTTATAAAGGATTTACCAACTCTTAATGAATAACATATGCAAAATTCATTGCTGAATACATTTTCGTGCATCACGAATATGCAACTATTAATCGATAAGAATATTCAGCGATTTTTATGAGAATCTCACGCTGAACTGAGAGAATGGAGAGAAAACATAGTAATTTTTCTATTCTTTGCTAATCGTACAAAAGTCAATGACGTTTAAAATTATTAAAAAAAAAAATTGTCTTACCTTATTATTTCACTTGAACACTGAAATTTTTAGCTACAAAAAGGTCTTCTGGCTCTCAGGTGCAATCATTGTTATCCGATGGTTTGGTAATGTAGCTATGGTTTATAACAAAATGAAATAAACATTTAAACTTGTACAAAAATTGATGGTGAGGATTCATTATTGCAAACCCCAAATAATCCCGAAATGCATATTTCACTGATTTATTTTATTCTCGCTTCTAATCACATTTATTACACCACAATACACGTTGACACTCAATAATTTAATCACGTGTTTCAATTGATGAGTCGTTAAAATCCACTATAATGGCAATTGGAAACTATAATATCGTTACAGCTAAATTGGGAAGTATAAATATCATATTTATTATTTCATCTTGTGGTTTTAGTACTCTCAGCGGATATAACTACGTTTTTTTTTTTTTTGGAGCGATCAGTATTAAATATATATTAAAATGCCAAGCAAAGATATTCATGAAAAACTTTAATCGATTAATTTGGCAATTTTTATCAATGATATTACTCAAGTATTTTTAAAATGAAAATTCGTGGTGCCACTACCTTGTCATGGATATAATGAATAATATAATATATAATATATATTTTTCCGATTCTTAATAATCCAGCTACCTTAATTCCGAGTTTATACATACATGGTTTATAGGCTCGTGGCGACAAGAATTTTTCGAAGCAATTGGGATTATTCTGCATCCTCAGTCGTCACCTTAATTTAATACGTGATCAATTCGTTAATCGTCATTATAAAACGTTTTTACTGTGAGTATACATTACTCATGCCCCAAAAGCATTTATTGGATATACGCACTCTGTGATGATCGCGTTGAGGAAGTTATCTGAATAAAACATGGGAATATAATTCACGTGATATGCTCAATTATACTTTTGAAAATGTCACCAGTCCTTTAAACTTTAATCACTAAATTATTGGCACGACTAGGAACTTGCTTTTGAAAAGTAAAAATGGTTTGTAAACTGCTTCCTCTGAAATTTTCAAGTAAGCAATTAATATTGATCGACAAAAAAAATTGGCCACTGATTTTCAATGCGTCCACTCACCACAGTGTCATCAGCCTCTAAATACTGTACAATACCGCCTTAATAATATCTTAATAAATATAAAAGGTTGGAGATAACATTCCGGATAATTTGTTAATTCTGATGAGGTGTTTACAGGACCATTAGTCGGCTAGTTGGGTGTAGAGGAATTTAAAGTCTTCCCTGTGACGTGTTTGATTTTTTTTTTCTATTACAGGAAGTTCCTTCGCTCATGGCAAAATGTTTTTTCTAGGATTCATCTAACTTTCGTTCTTTTCTAAGAAATATTATACCAGTACGGGAAAAACACTTGCCTTCTCTCAATTTTTTATCGGAGTCACTGTCAAATGACTGATATTTCTTCTCAAGCCATGAAAATTTATTATTCCATTTCTCTTTGCGAGTAATTGCTTCTTCATCTACCTATATTTAATATCGATATACAGTCTGAAAAAGCCATGATTCTTCTTTGTATTCCCTCTTTTTATAAAAAATGTACAAGAACTTCATTACACGATTATCTAAGTTAAATCGCTAAAACGACAAAAATAAATAAATACATAAAAAAATTATTTAAAAAATCATTAAAAAATTGTATCAATAGTTTAAAAGTCTTCACTATTATGCAACTGACGCTTCGGCGAGCACAAATGCTCCTAAAGATTTTTAAGGAATATTATGTAATTCAACGGTGTAGGTGTTCTTTATTTTTTATTTTTTTCCTTTAGCCCCTTTTAGTTTAGCATAAAAGAGAGCGCATGAATTATACGATGGAATACCTAAACGGGTGCTGGTACGAGTAAATCAAAATTTGAAGTGTAAACGTTACCCATCAGTAAATGCACAAACATTCGTTCAATAATATTTATATAGTGAATATAAAAATCCTTTGATCGGAAAACATCAGATAGATATTTGTGCTACTAACTAAATTTTTTGCGAGATCAAAACATTTTTGTTTACTCGAATTACACGGACACCAGTTGTTTCTGCATCGAATCTCTCTTCTATCGGAATATTCACGCGCTCCGGGATGGGGCACGAGCGAAAATACTCAACGGATTATTTTGTAATTTTGGAAGAAATAAAAAAATTGGAATTGCTCGGGGTTTAACAAATAGGGGGATTAAATGGGAGGTTAAAGCACCGCTGAGTGGGTATGTCAAGTACTTGACAAGTGTACTTAGAGCTCGCTTATTATCGATCCTGTCTCGAGTTAAATCGGGAGAAAATGGATAGTGTATATAGTGTATTTTTTCGTTTTTTATCCCTCACATTTTTTTTTTGTTGTTGCGGACTCTATTGTGACATTAACCCTCGGCGTTTGATCCTTCAGTGGCAAGATCGTGCTCTACGCTGAAAGCGACGCATTCTCCGATGCCACTCGTCTCGCCACTCAATAACAATTGATTTTGGCGTTACTGCAAGTCCATTCAATCCACTACCGTCATTCTCCTGACCCAAAAATAGATATGATCTGAAATAAGGGGGAAAACATTATTTCATTACAACTCATTTTTTGAATAATTGGTGACTTTCGGTCCAATTCGTCCATCTGACGCCCCTATAATGTCACCCTCTCTTTATTATATTTAACACTGGATGAAATTTAAAAAATTAAAAGGGTCACTAACTAGTTGAATCATTCAATTGGGATTATGAGAAGAAGCTGTTTTTATTTAAGATAAGGCTATTGTATAAACTCACTTGTTTGGTTTGATCTTGGGGCATCTGCAGGCAAGATCGGACGTGTGCACGTACAGAGCCATTGGACCGCGTTTTATCATCGAATCATCTCCTCGTTTGTAAATGAGATCGACATTAAGGGTAAATTTGGCAAATGAATTTCCAGCCGAGTTGGAAACTTCATTGGACTTCTGTCTACCTGTTACTCGTCCAAGAATTGCTGCAAATCATGGAGATTATTTGTTGATTAATAAAAGTTCGCTAAGGGCCACTTTCTCTAGAAACTTTTCACTCCCAGCGAGTCTTCATCAAGTATATAGTGATATATTCACAAGTTAAACATTCGAGCGAGATGAATTTTATAGCGCCATTTAAGAGATTCCTCCGTTAATTTAACGCCCCATCGAACCCATTCTCATGCGACATGGATTCGCACTTGCTCTCTATTAGATTGGCGCGTGAAGGAATGAAAAAGGTACATTAAATAAAGTAATATATCTGGCATGTGCGTTTTTTCGGGAAAAATGAGACGTGCGATGGTAAATGGAGCGTTTATGGAGCGTAATTTTAACATGTGTAAGAGTAGATGGACGTTGTTATGAAAATATTGTGGAAAGTGGAAGTTGAGAGGGTTAAAAAAAAAAATAGTGGAGGAGTGGAGGGTCAGACCTGTTGAAGATTTATTGGCATGTCCCGGGATTGAGCGTAAACCCGTGGTCGCTCTCGCCGAAAGACTCAAAAGCCTCCATGTTCAATTATTGAAGCGCCACGTCGGGCTCGCTTTTTTTCAACCCTTCAAAAAGCCCATTATTTCATCCCCGCCTGGCATATAATGGATATAAAATTATTATTTACTCACCATAGTCTCGTTTGCAATACTTGTTGAGATTCATTCGTCTGGTGCTGGCACGACATTTTCCACATTGCTCTGCAAATAGAAAAATATTCATTTGAAAATTTAATGATGAAGTAGGTCATGTTTAAGTGATGAGCTCAATCTGAGGGGATTGATATGTGGGATTGTCAATTCACGGATGTATCAAACACCCGGTGTTTATATATGTACATGGTGCATAGGTGAGGAGCAAGAGAACCCATCCGTTGAGCTGTGAGACGGATAACGCATTGCTCTTCCGTGAATTATGTCGTGTCGCGGGTTCGTACACTGCCTATTCCAACAGACACATTACCAGTGCATCTTGTAATTAATGCTTATGTACTAATTCTATCAGAATAACCATTATTAAATGGACAAATGACGTATATTCACGGACAAAGTGTGTACAGGGTGTTGCGCTTCTTTCTCTTTTTTCTTCTTCATTTTTTTTTTCTCTCGTATTCCCTCGAATTGGGCGCCTCGACTTCTCGCCACGAATTTCAATATTTTCCTTGGTAAAAGGTGCACACTGGAGGGAGGACTCGAAAAAATGAGGGAGAATGGAGTATGGAACGATGAAAAGAGCGGAGACTACCCCTTGACGGTTACCTCGACGTTGAGGAGGCTCAAGAGCTTCTCCCAAGGACCACGCAAATGTACTGGGGTCCTTTTTATTTCAATTTTTACGTTTTGTTTTCGCCTAAAGAGGAAAATGTGTGATGGCTTTATTCCCTCAAAGTAATAATACTGGTCTTGAAATTTTCAAGCCGGTTAAGTCATTTTCACTGCCGTTTTTCACTGTCCAAAGAATTTTTTCATTCGTTCCACTGCATTTAATGCGAATGAGAAAATCGTCGTTTTATTACACCTTCTGTGTACAGTCCATTAAAGTTGGATTACTACAACGGTGTATCTCAGTATTTCAGTCAAAGCGATGGAAGATGGTTTTTCTTTGGGAATACCGAGATATAGACATACCCAGTGTTTATTTTATTTCAGTTTATTTGATTTTTTATTTTAGTTTGATTTTTTCTCCGAATGGCAAGTGAATTTTTCTCCATTCACTATATATCAAATTTTACAATAGTGAAAATTAACGAATTTTGTCGATCCGTCGACGAATCACATTCGTATGGGGAAGTGTCTAACGAATCAGCCTTCTCAAGAGAATACCAAGTATTCTTTCACGGATTATATTCCCAAGTGTCGAGAATAGGTCCCCAGAGTCTATTCTGTGGCAGAATTCTCGCGAGTTTTCTTTCTCCAATCGTTTTCACAGGGTTTTAACTATAGCTTTCATACCGACCCGACATCCGACCGCAGGAAGTGCCGCAGGAGATTGCCCCGAAATCGCTTTATCCTCACCGTAATTCATCTCCGTGGTCCGATCGCCTTGAGAGCATCACAAGAAATTCGTCTGCATTCGTCTTCTCCACATCCATCATTTGCTTCAAAATAATGTGTTGAAATTATTGGCGGATGTGCTTCACACTGTACCATTAAATTCCCTACACAAATCCCATTGTTACTGACCATCGGGGGTTCTTCGGTTAATCGACACAAAGGATATCTCGTTATCCTCGTTAATTAAACGGGTTAATACTGTCTTCGCCCTTTGCCAATCACGCCCTCCCTTTTCTCGATAATTTCCACATGTTTATCAAGGGAGAATAAATCATTGGTAAGACGGTTATAATCTTCTCGGTGCTTTGTCAATTGTCAAATTTTTTTTACATCATACATGTGGCAGTAACCTAGTAACGAGATAGTCCGGGACTATCGTATACCCCTCCAATTTATTTCACATGATTTTTATTTACTTTTGTTTCCATTTGGTCATTGAAAGTTTGCACAAAGGGGCGATAGGGGATTTGTTCTGTTCAGTTCTGTTTTTTTGTTTTTTTTTTTCATGTACATTTATTTCATCTCTTCCCTCGTTAGATTTTCGAGGGAATTCCATAGTCAGAACTGATGGTCGTTTTTTCGGGTATTCTGATACCGGTATGCTGGATATTTTCATTCGATAGCTCTGCAGTACCTCTCCCCACCTCTTTATTTCATTTTCTTCTTTTTTTTTTCCAGAGTTTTGCCTCTCTTTTTTTCCGTATTGAGCCGTAGGGCATCGATTGAATTTCAAACGAAATTCAAATTACGTTTAATTTGGTTAGCCACAGACAAGCACCGCCTCGGGGTTCCGATACGCGCTTTCATCTCTCTCTGACGTTCATTCAGTTTTCCTCTGATCCTCTCGTTTACCAACAAAACTGGCATAGAAAGGCTATGTTATACGGGATTATACAATCGATGAGTAGGGAGGTCGGATGGAAAAGAGTTTATGCCATAGTTCATCATACCTTTTTCAGCTTCAAGCAACATTTCACTCATTTTATTGTATTTACTCGGTTGTGCTATTGTTTTCATTTGTTAAAGAAGAAAAATAATTGACCGTAGAGGGATATAAAAAATATGGAAAAGTCCTTCAAGATCAATCGGTATAGGGTGAAATTCTATTATTGACTCTCATGAAAAGAAAAATATTCCTTCTGTGTATCCAGATTTTTTTCGCTCAACAGCATTATGAATTTTCCTCCTCGCTTTTCTCTTTCTCTTATCAGCTGGTTTACAAATAAATGAATACATTATTTAATGAATGAAGTTAATTAAACATTCCATGTTCTGGCATAATAATAGCTTCCATCGAAAGCTATGGGGAGTGGGCAGGGAATAGGGAGTAGGATGAATTCTTCGCTAATTAAACATTGCTTCACTCGCTAAATTATATTATTTGAAGGAAGAGTGATGAAAGAGACAGACCACAAGAGCAATATATTAGGTATAGATTGCCTGTTTATATCGACTAACTCCGGGCCATCTTGAGGATATAGTACGCCTCATTAAATCCAACTAGATAAGCTCATTCATTTATTTGTGCTCGACTGATTCGCGTAAGATAATTGGTATGTCCTTGGAAAATGCTCTTTATCTCCTCTTTGTCCCCGATTCCCCTCGGATGTAGGGGAAAAAAACGGTGATCCACTCCCTGTAAATATCGGTAATCTGTTGATACTATGTAATTAAACGAGACGAAAAACAGAAAAAAAAAACATCGGATTACTCCGCACATTTTCTGTGATCCTGTTATAAAACTTCCATTTAATTAAATAAACAAGAAAAAAATTTTAGATGTCTTGTAATCCGTCACTTGCGCTGAAAATATAAAATAGCGTTGCCTATGGAGAAGACACGAGGGCATTTTCCTTCAGAAAAATCATCCCTCGCTCAACTACTTTTTCCTTTTATATCCGGTCATGAAAGCCAATGTACCTCAGCAAAATAACGTATCACCCCTGGTACATCGTGACTACCTTCCTCCTTCCCTTTCGCGTTTACACGTTGCACTTCCCTCTTCTGCTTTCATATGCTTTCACTAACATGAAGAAAAAAAAAATGGTTTTGTCATGAAGGCTCTCGCAAATACCACGATTGTCTTCCTTTCATTGTTAAAAAAAATAGTCGATTGCAGAGATATGTATTCCCTCGCTTTTTTCATTGCGAAGAGTGAAAAAAAATTGATATCACTAATTGATAAAAATTCGCCCATTATTAACGATGACTTTAATGACAAAAGGGGGGAGTTGGGGTGAGGAGTTATATAAGTTGGACATATATTGTGCGGCTTGTGTGCGAGTGTAAAAGGCCCCATTCGTTAAAGACAGGCCTAAGGAATGGTTGAGGGAGAAAAAGAGAGGGTGAGAGGGTGAGTGGGTGAGTGGGAGAGAAGATGGTGGATGCATTCATAAAAGACAACGATAAAAATTTTCAGTCAGGCTCTGCGTGTTTACCTTGGATTACTCTCGCCTCTTCGTCACGCTTCTCCGACCGTTCATACAATCACCTCTCGGCTACCCTTTATTTATTGTTTCTTTTGGCTTCTCTTTGGGGCTTTTTTTTTTTTACATTTATTTTCATCTTTGCATGTTCCGTAGTTTCGTTTTTTAACTCTGTCACACAGTCGTAAATATATAATGCTCAACTCATGTCTTAATTAACGAGAGACTCCTGATATGATTTTCGATCTCGTTAATTCTTGAGGTTCAAGCTGCACCAACTCGACATTAGGTTCAATGCTGGTTTTTCGTCATGTTCACACTTTAGTTGAGAACCGATGGTATGTCGGGTCATTAGCAGGAGTTACCAATGCACGTACATACATATATAACATGCGAGAGGTTGTAAATGTGGATTCGGAGAGCCCGTTTGTCTCGTACATACACTCCGGCTTTTTATTTCTCATTTCCCTAACTTGTTTTTCTTTTTTTTTTTACCAAAGAGCACTGCAGCTTGGAGTAAAAATAAATACACACCGCTGCGGCATTAAATATAAGTAATCGCGGGGTTGTTCTTCAATGGGGAATTCAATTGAAACAATAAAAAATGGTGGAAGAAAGCAACTCTCAACTATTATTATTAATTATCCAAATTATTAACACGCAAGGACAGAGCATTAAATGGAGACTGGGTCTGGTCGGGTTGGAGGAGGGCTACGGACGTCTCCCGACCTAAACCAAAGTTAATTACCATCCGCCTTGGCGGCTAATTTGAATCAAGACTAATTGATCCACTCCTTGCGCTCACCGCCCGCTTTTCAATTCCCGCTTGGTGCTTGCTTCTCGCCAAGATTACCAAAGTTTTTGAGGCTAACTTATTATTATGCATACCGCTGAAATTCATATAACGTCAAATGAGTATAGGGGAATATGCGCATTCGCCGATTAAGATCGATATCTATCGGAGATTAATATGATTACTCCATTGGTGGCTCATAAAAGGCGGGGAAAAAAACGAGTTTAATTCACAAATGATATTACGAACATTGCACCGAATATATACCGTTCATTTGATACGCACCCTGTTGTAATTATCAATATTCCAAATTTCCCGTAGTAGCCGTTTCAACGTGGGAGATGTCGACGGATAATTAATTGCATGCAGACGATAATTATGGAAATTCATTCAGATCAATGTCGGAGTGTTGCTTAATAATTTTCAATTCGCGCAATTTTTTATTTTAATTCATTCATGAAATCAATCATTCAATTTTTTCTGGTAAATTCACTTTATATTCAATCTCCATTGATTTGATATAGAAATGGCTATGCGGGCAGAAATATATACAGACGAGTCGTCTGGAAAATTGGAAAAATATTTCGTTGGAAAATAAGCTTTTCGTGTCATTGGGTGGAAAGCGTAGCCTACAAGATACGACTTGGATATTCTTAGATAACTGTGTAAGAGATCGAGAGGAAAAATTTAAGGTGTATTCTGAGACACCTTGTGGTACGTTATAATATTGGATATTGGATGCATAAATGTACCGATTTCCATTTAGAGAGGAGTGCAAAAAGAAACATCGATTGAGCGAATGGGAGAACGAAGCGGTTGAGAACACTGAATGTGCATCGATAGGCTGCTGTGAGTACCATCAGCTAAAGTTTATTGGAAGTTGGCCAGAAAAAGAGAAATAATATTGCTTCTCTGATACTAGTGACGCTCGTCGTGGGAGAATCGTTATCTCCCCTTTTACCCCAAATATACCCGCCTCTTTTCCTTCAATCTGCATTTCCCTTTACTATTCCCTTTTTTTTTATCATGGGACTACTCTATTTTTTACTAGCATTTAGCGGAGGCCAATAGATTGACAATTTTTGCCGAATAAAGGTACAGAGAAGTACAGCAGAGAAAACGAATAAAAATGGGATAATAATAAGAGATACAGGAAGGCCTCGGTCCCTGGTAAACCGGCATATAAATCTTTCACCCTGAAAACGAGTGCCCCCCTCTTGCCTCTCTCTGTACTTATCGGACGGAACAAGCAAGACTGAACCGCCAATAAGATTGTGACGAGAACATGAATCGACAGGACATCAGCTCGGCTGTCTCGACCGATAAGCTTTGATCCTCTTTTACACCCCATTATATAAAATATGAAATATAAAAAAAAATGTACGCATTAGAGGACCACCCAAGTATTCACATCAACATTTTTTTCACCTTTATATATATATATATTTCTTGTTATTTGCGAGGGGAGGCAACTGATCCCATTATTTGCTCCAATGCGAGCATGAAGAATCTTGAATTGACGCAAACATCTATGAAATCCCTTTGAGCATTACTATAGCAAGCGAAAAGCAACTGTCGTCAAAAGATTATTTGCGATTGTTGTTTGATTGAGGGGGACTCGTCTTGTTAATGCATTGTGACAATTTCATTATCCGCATTGACATTATTATTATTATTATTATTATTATTACATATAATTACATTGAAAGAAAAATGTTGAAATAATGAAATAAATCAAATAGATTTTTCACAGATGATTGATTGATGGAAAAGAAATGGAGAGCACATAATCCCCACTGACGTACTTAATAAGTCTTCTGAATAATAAAGGTGCAGACAAATACTGATTGACGTACACAAGTGTTGAATTGTATTCAGCGAAGCAACAAGCATCACGAAATTGCCAGGGTTATTATTATCTGGTGGGCTCGCACGCATGCAGGATTTACTGGCTTCACTTGATCATTGTATATGAGCTTTCTCCAGGTTTCCCTAGTCCCTTCCTCTACCCCCTCTTGAATTTGGTGCCCATATGCACCCTTCAACGATTCCACTTTCCCTCTCTCTCTCTCTCCTCCTATATACTGGCACATACAACTCTAGTATCCTGCCAATGAGCTTAAAACCGCAGCTCCCGTGCGTGGAAACTCAATCGATGCACAATGTGTGCAAACATTGTCAGTACGGTTATATGTTTTCCGACACGGAAAGGACCCTTGCGTTTATCCGAGCGCATACACCCTTCGGATGCTTAGGGATATATAGGAGAAAAAAAACAAGCGGGTTTCGTGCTTCGTGCTTCGTGCTTCGTGCTTCGGGCTTCGGACTTCGGGCTTCAGGCTTCGAGCTTCGGGCTTGAAACAAATTCTACATTTTCAAATAGTCATTGTATTTTTAACGGGGGAGTCATAACAACAACGAGCGAGATCATTTGAAATATCATGGACAAACGAAAGAGCTACATGACTTTGCCACCGAGTGATAATATCCGATAGCTCAAAGTTATGGAATAGTGAGCAACTATTTGCCTCTTAACATTCCACGGGGTATGTTGTGCGGTTCTATCTCTGGACGTTATGCGCGTGGGTGTAACGTACACGCGACGTAACGCGCCTTCACATCAGAGGGCATTAACATATAGATGCAATCCGTGACGGTGCATGCATTGCTTTCTTTTCTTCCTTTTGTTTTTTCCTTTATTTATTCATTTATATATATATTTTTTTTGTTAGAATGCTGTTAAAAAATTTGATGGGCTCGATGGGAGTAATGAAACGCCGGGAAACGACACTTAAATCCCAATGTATATTGTTGAAGTTGTTGTGAAAGGAGAGGAAAAATATTTGGGGATAATATGAGAACGGCCAGCCGGGCGTAAATATACATAGCTAACGTGTGGGAGGAAAGAGAGGAAGGAAGGAGTCCATACCAGGGGTATAAACGTGTAGCTGTGCGAGGGTGGTTTTAATTAAGCCATTAGGGGGTGGCTGAGAGGCTGCGACCGAGCGGCAAGACGCCTTTCTCCCTTTCTCTCTTTCGCCCTTTCTCAATTCTCTCCCCTTCCCTCCCCCTTTGCTAAATTAATATCGCCCTCGAATTTCAACCTCCCCCAACCCAAGCCGTGTCACTGCACCACCTCTCTCTCATCTAAAACCTCCAAATCCTATCTTCCTCCCTTATCCCTCACTGATTTTATAGTCGTGTCGTGGAATCCACCCGGGGCGCAACTAAAAGCACAATACTCTCCCTGGCCTCTCCTGTGACTCTTGTTATCTGCTTCTAATTCGAGCTGTGTTGGATAATGGTTACGATAATGAGAGCACCAGAGTACATTCTTTCAGTCCCTCGCTTCCTCTATCGCCGAGATTTTTTTTTTCATCTGTAAATTATCTTCACAGCTCTCGAATCTTAATGAAATTTCCCATTTTTCAACGTGACACATTGAAATGCAAATATAACACGCGATTTTATGGGCTTTAGCAATGGTTGACAATTTGTCGGAGGATTCTCCTGGTGAATTTTATTCTCAGTCCACTTACTTACCAGCTCGCCCATCGTATCCATGCTCATCATCATCATCGTGTTCTCCATTATCCTCTCCGGCGATTCCCTGTGTGTGAATCACTTGTGGTATTTCTGGAAATGGACAAAAACAAAAGTTGAAGATAACAATCCGATATTGGATAATTAAGGACATAACGTATCCAGCATGTTTAACTAATTTCCAGATTAATTAGTTGCTACATTAATGCCAAGTGATAGTTATTCACAGCTCTGTAAACACCTTTCCATGTGGGACATATTTTATTTTCCGACATTTTCGAGGTATAATTAAAATGATTTTTACGAGTTATCCTCAAGAGTTTCGCTGATCATTATCGTGTCTGGGAGAAGGAGGTTTGACTGGAATCGTGTGATGATGTGGATATATCCTTTGGAGATGGAGTGGGGATGATTATGGATGTGAGAGGAATGAGAGTGAGATAAGTCGGGCATAAGTTATTGGTGGTGGGCTGGCCGATGCGTCAAGTTGCCCTTGTACAGGAGGGATGTGTAAATAACTAGGCAACATAAAGCTGCGAGTGCATTTGAATTTTCAAAATATTAATATATCAATGAAGTTTTTATTCCGGGAAATGATAAGATGATGAGAAATAATGATATTCACTAAAATTTGACATTTCAAAATTTTTTAAAAAGTATCAGGAGAGCATGACAATCGGGGAGGTATTCAATGAAATTTAAAAA